AAGGTCTTGAGTATTAAATAGTAAATTTACATAGTGGCATGGTTCAATGGAGGATACAAATTACAGTATCTTATTATTATTATTATTAATATCCCGACAATCAAAAACAAATAATTGTCTACAACGGTTAGGTTTTTCAAAAGCCATGTTTTTAAATTTGAAAAACAAATACTTAACAGCAAAAATAATTTAATTTTTAATTTTTTAATAACATTGCTCATTCTTCAAGGTAGCTCAAAGCTACAGTTTAGATTTGCTTTTGATATTGATTTCACAAATTCACTGTATAATTATTTATTGTGCTAAGATTGTTATGAAAACCTTACATTATACTATCTGTTAGTGTCCTTAGTAATACAAGTTCGATATGGTCAATGTATGTCTGCAACCGTAAGAGAAATACAGGAACACTGCATAAAATAAAATAGTTCAAAAATGATTCCATACACTTTACATTTGTACTATAAATCAAGACTGTAATTATAAAGTTACAAAACTTATAAACAGTGGCAAGCAAAAGTTGTCATGTATATTCATATCTTATAATAATTTATGTATTTCTGTATCTTGAATAAAGTCCTTTGTATTTTAGTACCATTTAACTCATTCAGGCATTAATAGGGGTCAACTTTGACATCAATTAGAAAGTTATTTCCCTCATTCTTCCAACTATCTAGTTTTACTGTTGTTATATTTTCATTTATGAACTGTCGATCAACACAAACTCATAAATGTTCAATAGGAATTAAATCTGAATTTTGAAGAGAAGTTCTTTGGATAGTTATGTAGCAACGGTTCCTGTGTGTGGAGAGCTTGGGGCTAAGAGATGTTACCTAGTTAGAATTTAAATTTTGTTCCCACTTCTTTCATTAAATTTAAATTTCACCTTTTAAATTTATACCACTCAGTTACACCATCAATAAAACTAAATTCTCGAATCCACATGCAGACGTATTTATCATAAGAACATTACCGCCTTTAACTTTCATAGCTGCATACAAAGTCTTCTCTTCTGATGCCCTTCCAACTTTTCTCCACACTGCTGATATTAAATTTGTTCTCATCTGAATATATTACACAACTTGAGTAAAGATTGAGTTTTTTAATATATCCTCTGGTAAAATCGAACATATTTTTCTTTTTTTCTAAATTTATGAGAGGTCTTTTTGTATTCACTGTGACTTTGAATCCACATTTTTTTAGTATTATCGTAATTATTTCGGCTGATTTCCTGTTTGGGCTTATTTTCCTAATTGTTCTCATTTATTTCTGTTATTTTCATAGACTTTTAAGGCTGGTATGGCAAAACTGGGTAGAGAACAAACTTTCAAATTTTACATGGATACTAACCCTTAGGTCTAACCTTTCCGGGTACGGGAATGGCTTCTATATAATAATCCAAATAAAATACTATTCTAACAAACATAAGCAGTATTTATTTGACCGCACATCCTGACCAACTCCTTCTCATATTATAATCATGGTCGACCATCTCTCCATCAATAATCCAAATGAACATGAAACTACTCTTCTGAGTCCAGATTTAAATCCTATCGAACATTTATCGGTTTATGTCAATCCACAGTTCATAAATGAAAATATAACATCAGTAAAACTACATTGTTGGGTGAATGGGGAAAAATACCCTCCTAATTGGCGTCAATGTTGACCCCTATTAATACCTGAATGAGTTAAATGGTACTAAAATACAAAGGACTTATTGATATTGATTCAAGACATTGATTTAAAACTTTTGACTAAATTACGTACATAAATTAGTATACATAATGAATATATATGAAAACTGTTTCTGCATTAAAATTCTTGTTTTGTACTTACAATTTTATTTAAAACATATGAATTTATTGTTACGACAAATATTTTGAAAAAATTAATTAGAGTGGTATTGAAATTATACTAAGATGTTCAAATAAAAAAGATATATATATATTTATTTTTATAACACTGTACGATGTTTACTGAGAGTGTTTTAAAATACTGTTTTATGGTACTGTCCATTAAAAAAATGTTTTTACTGCCAACATGTATTCAAAATAAGCCTTTAATGACTGTTGCCTTAGAAATAGTGAATTATAAAATTATAGAAAAAGTGAATTATATTAGAAAAGGTTAACTGTTGCTAGCAAGAAACAATGGTCTATAGCCTTCCAATGACCAATCAGAAGTGTTTAAGGGTTAACAATGACATGACAATAATATTTTTTTTACGTAGTAGCAATATATTTTAAAAATGATTTATTAAAATGTTATACGTGATATATATATTATATTTTCATTACATATTTGTGTAAATATTTTCAACTAAAAAAAAAAGATAAATGCAGAATAATCAAGAACAACAACCAATATGTTTTTAAATAAAACCTTTTAAAGTTTAAAAATAAGGCTTTTTAATAAAGCCGATGACACATATTAGATGAAAGCCATACTGAGCTAATTAAAAAATTAATGATAAACAGCACTTTTAATTTTATAAAGTAAAAAATAATTAGAACTAAAATACTTTGTCGTATATTCACTTCTGAATTGATATAGTTATAAAATCAGCCAATAAATTTTCAAAAAATTCATTGAAGGAAATAAGAGCAAGCTAACCTAAAACAATTTGTTGAATAAAAGATTCTTAAATTAAACAAATTAAAAATATAAAATAAAATAGATAATCATGCAAAATTTTATATTGAAAGATCATACAATTAATAAAAATAAAAAAATAAACTCAGTTTAAAAAAAAAAATCAGACATTAGACATAACACAAAATCAAACTTGTTATCTAAACTACAACATTCTACATATAAAAAAAAAATTTAATGTGAACAGTCATTGTCAGCTAAAAATCAGATCTTCGGATGACATCAAGTCAGTTCTTATCTAAACTATTTATAGTTTTCTTAAACTAAATTAAGTCTTTTATTTTATAATTCCTAAAGCTATAATTAACGTCTACATGGCAAGAGAAAATAACCCCTTAATCAAGGCTTTAAGAATCAAATTACAACTAAGATCACAATTCGGAAAAATTACCTAGACGAATACTGCAATTAGAAAAACATAAAATAAACAGTACGCAAATATTCTTTGGTAACTATAAAATATTATACTAAATTATTCAAACGGTTTTTCTTTCAGTGATTAAATATTTCTAATGGTTTGAAACAGAATATCAAAGCAAATCATAACTTAATAATTGATTAAAATAAAATGTAGCTGAGTAATTCCTTTCAAACAAACAAAAAAGTATGTGTTATATGGGACTTTCGTAGTTTAGCGCATCAGGTGACCTTTTGTCATAGTTGACAGGCGTACCTTTTGTCATATGCCAGTCATATTTAATATTTAATAATTTTTAGTTATAATTCTATTATTAAAAATATTTATAATTACTAACCAAAATATATATATTTTTTTAATACTTTCAATGCAGAAGTCCTTTTGGAATGTCATATGTGGCTTGGCCATAATCGGTTAGCATTTATGAAGTATTTTGTCAAAAGCTGCATCAATGAGACCTTTTAGGAAACCATTTATTGTAGCAAGTAGAAATTATTAACGGACCATTGCTAATCGTTAACTAACAACCATTTGTGTTTCCAATGGTGAATACTGTTTATATTTATTAATCTCCATTTAAACTCCACGCAGAAGTTTTTCTGGAATGTTTTTTATAATTTTGTTTAAATTTAAGTGTGTAATGCAAGACAACAAAATTATTTATTGTTCATAGACATTATAAAAATAAATAAATCTATCCACTCACTTTTTATTATTTATATGAATTAATGTTTCTACTTGAATGAATCAATTGTAAAATGTAATTTTTTTATTATTTAAAACGGAGTAAAGAAAAAATATCTATAATTCTAACCATGTAAATATAATTAATTTTAGCCACTTTTAAATTTCAAATCAAAATTAAAAATCTATACTATTTTTGATATGTATATATTGAAAGTTTCAATGAAAATTGTATCAATTATTTTAATAAAATCTTTACTTTAGTGGACAAATTACACTACAAGGCAGTTGAAGAGAACAAAATCTTGAAAATAATTCTTGTAAATAAAATAAAATAATTCACCAAATGAACTTTTTACTTGGCCCAGATCTTTTTAAATAATATTATATTTAACTTCATTTAGTTATTTTTTTTTTCTGAAGTCAGGGAATTGTTACCCTTATAACTACTCGCCTTAATGAGGCCATTTTTTTTTCTTAATGAGGCCAACTATAACTTTAACTATAGAGGCCAAGTGGACCTTCTTAATGATAAATAATTTTGTAATAAGAATAAGCATAATAAAGAAGAATAAGCACCTTAATGTGAAAATACTTTATAATGAAAAATATTCTGGTGAAAAGTGACTGAATAATGTATTAAAGATACAATTTTAGGGATATACAACTCTTTTCAGGGCATTCTCAAAATATACGTAGCTGAGAACCGACGGGACTTGACATTTTTTTTTTTTTTAATTTGGAAAACCAATTTTCATCATAGATTACAGCTAGTTGTTTAAATGAATTTCCAATTCTCGAACTCTCATATACTCCAAATGATCCCAAGAAATTGTTTCAAGCCAATAGAAATATTAAAATAGCTGAAAACTGTTACAATATCTGTAATTATAATAATAATGGTAATTATTCGTAGCTGAAAAAAATAAAATAATATTTTATACTGAATTTTATTCGATTTCTAATTAGATTTATAAAAATGAAATGAGCAAAAACAAAAATTTCAAGTTTAGAAATTGTATTACTTTCTTATTCATTATTGTTCTAAAAAAATATAGATATTTACTATAAACTGATAAATTAATGATGTATTAACTAAATAAATTAGATTTTTTTTAAAACAATAACAATTATTTCCTCATTAAAAATGTAGCAAAAAATTAATTTGCCTTTAACTCTGACCAGTTTACTACTTTGAAAAAATATTGAAATATTCAAAATAATATAAATACTGAGTCACAAAATTAAAGAGGATTAGAATATTGCTCAGATTAAAACAATGATATATAAAAGTTGTCAGTTAAATTTACTTTGGTAACATTAAATGATCACACAACATCTCTTATGGTGCTTTTTTTTAGAACTTATGCTAGGTCTAGAGGAAGGTGGTTCCTCTTCCTCAAACCATTCCTCTGAGGAGGAACTGTGATGGGACTGAACCCTTGTAAGTGATGCTTCACTCGAAATCAACCTCATCCTAGAGAATGCGCGTAGTGGTGGTTTCACACCAGAGACAGAACACGACCTAGACCTCCAGGAATCATTACCCCGACAACTATTCACCTTGACGAGGCCAACTTTAACTTCAACTATAGAGGCCGAGTGGACCCTTTTAACGATAAATCTCTCAGTAAGTGGGGTAGGTATTGGACCTATCTCTGCTATAGTGCCCTTATCCTCTTGATTTTCTGATTCTACTGGTCCTAAGTCAAATAAAACTGTCTCATCATTGTTAGTGTTCGGTTTGGAGTAAGAGTCACAACAGGACAATCTACCTGCTCCGCTAGTTAAATATCCAGTTAGATACACTGGCTGAAACAACACAGAAAAAAATGTATACTAACAGCATAAAATAAAACTTTCAAATTATTCTAAAATTATTAAGTCAAAAAAGATACAATACAATTAATAAATAAATTAAATCTTTAAAAAAAATCACACAAACAAATGAAAACAGAACAAAATTAAATACAAATTATACCACTAATACCTTTCCATAATAAAGAAGAGCATCACTGGCTGCACAATAATAATAACAAATAATATTAGAATAAAAAAAAGTAAAAGGAAAAGACTCAGAATCAAAGTATTTTGTCTAAAAACATTACATTAAAGTTTAAGCAAAATTTAATAACTTCATAACAGTTTCTATATTGTTCATATAAGTCAAAATAAAATAAAATTTCTATTTAATACTCCTCTATAATACATCTAGATCTAAACTGAAGTTGCAAAAAGGCAAACAATATTCTAATTTTTTGTAAAACCTAATGACTAAATTGTTAAGAGATAAAACTGAAATTGTAAACATTACCTTGTGATCTCCCATACAAGAGTTGATACCTATGAGACTGTACTCGACTTTATCTTCATCTTTCTAAAAAACAAAATAATTAATGTAATAACTTTTTATAAATCCATAATAATAACTATGAAACTCCTCTTAATGGATACTTCTTGGAAAAATTGCAATGTTCCTTAGTTCAACTTTAAAAAGCCCTGCCAGTTTTACGGAAATAATGTTTAATTTCTATGAACTGAAATAAATTCACCGCACTATCTACATAGACAATATATCCTTAAGTGGACATTAACACTGATGATGCTACACAAATAACTGGACTGGACAATCTAAGAACTAGACTAACATCATTAATTGAACTGAACTCTTGATTGACAATCTGACGATATTTACCAGGCCATTCCATAAGTAATGTCGGTTTTTAAAAATCTGTCTGTTTATGTTGATATTATTAATCGCTCCTTTACAATTGAATTGCTTTTACATATTTTGTATATTATAGCATTACATACTTTTTCATTTAATTATTGTTGGAGAAAGTTAATTATTTTGTGCTGGAATTTCAAGTAAAATGGATCTCTCAAAAACCACTTATGCCATGTTATGCTTCAGGAATTTGATTAAGATGAAAATGTTGCTTCAGCTTATCAGAAACTTGCAGAAATACATGGATAAAATGGCATTAGTGAACAAGTGCAGAGGTGCTTTGAAAAGATTCGTGACTGAAACCACCAACATGAAGACAAGCCTCGGACAAGTCAATCAATAAAGCTTGACAACGAATTCCTGCAGGCTACTGTTGAAGAAAATCCTGTAGTAAAAGTTGAAGAATTAGAAAGAAAAAAACTTGGATCAACACATCTACTGTCCACCCTCATCTGCGGAAAGGCACCGAAATTGTGAAAGTGGTTCTCTCACAAGTTAAGTGTCGCTAATTTGCAGCAGCGGATGAACACTTGCTTTTTCTCTCCGCTTTTTCTCTCCTCCACTGCTTAACTGGAGATGAAAAGTTTAATGTTGCAATGTTAACTGGTGGCAACAGTGGTCAAGTCTAGAGAAACACTGAGAACAGAAGTGAAAAAAGGGCTTCATCCGAAAAGTAATGATGTCTGTTTGGTGGGAAATGGACGGAATCCTTCACTGTAATTTCCTTGATCTTAACAAAACTATCACTAAAGATCTTTACTGTGATCAGCTGGATTAATTGAAGTAGGCAATTCAGAAAAAATATCGCTCATTTATCAATAGATAAGGCATTTTATTGATCCACCATGACAATGTGAAGCCCCCTCTAACAAAACAAACATTGTAAAAATTAAAGGACTTTAGATGGGAAGTTATTTCCCACCCATCTTTTTGTCTTAAGTTAGTGCCTTCAAATTATCACGTTTTTTGCAGTCTCGAAACTCATTAAGCGGCAAGAACATGAATTCAGTCAATGAAGTGAAAAACGAGGTGTTGACTTTCTTTAATTCTAAAACAAAGGATTTTTTTCAGAAAATTTATAAAATATTTGGTTTCAAGACGGCAAACTGTTATAGAACAATATGGTAAACACACTTCAGATTGAATGTGTTCTATTAATTTTATATTATGCAATTAACTACCGACATTATTTATGGGATGATTTGGTAAATAGCCCATAGATCCTTCTAGGCAGAAACAGATCATCTCATTGGTTGAGAACTAACGTCAATTATTGAATTATCTAGATCTTTTTAACAACTTCCCCAATTTTACTCTCCTGATATTTAACTTTAATATTAAATTTAATAAATCATGATAAACAACCAAAAATAAATGTGCCAAACAATCAATTTTCAATAAACAGCCGTAAAACAACTACAATTACCTACATTGTATATAATATGGTAGTATAGGTCCCCTTTCTGGTTCTCAGGAGTGATGGAACTTGATGAATGAGGAATCAAACAAAAGGGAATTTTATGGAGAATTGACGAATACCAATTTCAAAACTTAAAACCTTACAACTACAACAACAGTCATTGAAAAAATTGGGAGGTTTCAAAAGTCGACGGATCAAGACGAGATAAATTTTGTTTTAAAGATTATGATGCAGATATCAAGCCTTGTTTTTAAAACCCATTAAATATACCTTTTTTGAAATAAACCACAATTCTTACAGAAAGTCTCCTAGGTGCTACGGTTATCATGGGGTAGTTTAGGATATAAAAATACAATATTACTATTTATGATATTACTCGGAGGAACTAAAAATATGTTGAAAAGGTAAATGGAGGAGAATTGCTCTATAAATCCTTGGTACCTTTAGATATTTTTAATAAATAAAACAAATATCTAAGTACAGCTTCTATACTCTCTGTAATAGAATTCTATACTCTTAGAAAGTGAGAGAACTACAAACTAAAGCTCTTCTGCAAGAACCAAATCTTGAGCAAGTACAATAATGGATTAGTATAAGTTTAGAAATATCTGTCTCTTTTTGCTTAAAACTATAAGGATATTTTCCAGAAGAACAAGTTAACCATCTTTAAGAGAGTTGTTGCTTAAACAGCTGTGGGAAAGTATTAAGTTTCAGTAATTGTGTGTGTTGAGAGAGGAGGCAAATATAAGCAAAAGAGGCACCATCTCTTCATCGATTTTTAAGACCGCATAAAATATTCTTAATCGTGATGAGCTCTACATAGTGATAGAGGAATTTTAAACCCTTCAGAAGCTCATCTGTAGGATGAGGCTGACCATGAATGAGGTGTTGTGTTCAGCGCGCGTTGGTGGAGCTTTATCTGAGGAATTTCAAGCGACAAAGGGCCTATGGTGATGAACTCGCATGCCTCTTATTCAATATTGCACTAGAGAAGGCTGTGAGAGAATCAGCCATACAGGTTGGACAGACAATATTCAGTCGGAGTAGGCAACAACTGGTTTATGTGGACGATGTTGACATCATTGGACACCCTCAACAGGCTGTCATGGAAGCTTTTCTAGCACTGAGAGGTTCTGCAAGGAAACTCGGGCTCGAGGTAAACCAGACGAAAACCAAATATATGGTGACCACAGAGATGCCTGGAGGCAATGAGATGGTGACATTTGGGGAATACCAATTTAAACAAGTCACTGTTTATTTATCTAGGCTCTATGGCAGTACAGGACTACAGCGCAGAAATGGAAATTAGAAGGAAGATAATTTCTGCTAATCAGTGCTACTACAGTCTGAGAAAACAGATTGATGGCCACATTCTCTCTCACCAAACAAAAGTAGATCTTTACAAAACCATAATCTGCCCAGTGCTAAAGTTCAGAAACTTGGACTATAACTAAACGTAGTGAACAGAGTCTACTTGTGTTCGAGCGGAAAAATCCTTTGGAGGATATTTGGAGGAGTGTTGGTGGATGGAACCTGGAGGAGACGCAGAAACGGAATAGAAGGTTTATAGTTTATTTATAGAGCCTAACGTCCTTCAGGTGGTAACTGGGTCAGTTACAGTAGGAGGGGCATATGGTACGCATGAGTAAAGAATAGTTGTCTAGGAAGCTTTTGGTGGAGCCTCTCAAATGGAACGAGAAGAGGAGGAAGATCGAAGCATAGATGGGTAGACAAAGTTGCAGTCAAAGCTCGGAACATTCTTGGAGAGTGCAACTGGATAACGGAACCATGACGATTGGCAGAAGTTTCTGGAGGACGCCCAAACCCGGTAATGGATTAGTGCGTCGAAATAATAATAATAATTGTTTGTGTTGAATAGACCAACTTAATATTATATTGTATATACAAATAAGCATGTTTCACTGATGTTAGAGAAAAGGATAGCTATTAAATGTGAGTTCTTGCAGCAGTATGCTGGGGTTTATTCACATTGAAATAAAGTTTTATACTAATTATTTAATATTATCATTTATTTAACTTATGCTAAAAAATACCCCTCTGTCAAGGCCATTTTTTAGTAACAGACAATCAAAAATTTCCTGTAATTATCCAATTAAGACAAGTTTCATTAAATTTTTAAAAACTCATGTCAACTTACTGATGATATAAGAGGTTTTGCTGTCTGACTTAATACAACCCTATCACACCAGGCAGGGCACCGTGTTTGCATGTAATCTGCACGTACATTGCTATCCTCAACAAATGGATAAGAGGGTGGGAAATTAATTGGAAACTCAAAGAGCTGACCACAAAAATCCTCCATTTCTTTATCAAATTCCTTTAACTGAAACAAATACAAAATAAAATATTAAAAATAACAATAGAGAAATTAGTGCCTAAAGAAGCTGATTGGTATCAACAATACTTAACTTACCCAAGGTTCTTCAGCAAAAATGGATTGGTGTTTGAAATGGCTAAACTCTTTCTTCCCAACACTGAAAACAACCTGGCTGCTGGAATCTGTGTATTCTAATTTACAGTTCTTACCATTTTCCACCTTCACTTCATTTAGCCCTTCAGATAATTTCTGAAATTAAAAGTATATATATATGTATATATTATAGAATAGAATAGAAAACAAACTTTATTCTGGAACAAGGTCCCTTAAGAATAAAAATGATGAACAAAAAATAAAAACCATATCTGGCCAAAAACTACATCAATAAAAATTAAAGAATATATATAATATCTTCAATGAAAATATATGAGCAACAGCGAGTTTAATTAATTTTGAAAAAAAATAATGAAATGAAACGGAAAACAGAAATAAAAAAAAATAAGAAACAAAATGTTATAAGTTGATTCTACACTATGAGTTGATTCTTAAGATTTAAACTTCAACAACCATTCACTTAAGTCAAATATTTATTTCATGATTGTACAGCATCATTTTGGGATGTGAGAAGGAATTGGTAGAGATGGTATTTGAATGAGGACAAGGAAGAGGCATGAAGGATATCAGATCAGATGGCAATGAATTCCAGAAGGCAGTGGATCGGATGGTTAAGAAATATTCAAATGTTTTAGTTCTATGGGAAGGGATATAAAGGTCGGAAACACGGGATCTTGTCTTGGGAGTTAATTATGGGTATTTTTTGAAGTGAAAAGTTCTTTAGACACGTTTTATACTTTTTTTGTGGGGAGTGAATGGGCCTGAGCTGTCAGGCTCGGATATGTAACACTCATTTGGGAAAGTAGGCTTGAGTTGATTAATTGTAATGTTTTTGAATATAGATTAAAATATCTCAGAAACTAAAAATCGGACTTGCATACTGGAAATACTGGAAATTCTCAGCACTCATCCTCTTTATAATGAACCATTATTCAAAATTTTAACTTAATGGGACACCGGGTAATAGAGACAAAAATGAGGAAACAAAAGTGTCGCAAACTAAATGATAACGAGTTTTATTGTAGATATGGATTGAAATATCTCAGAAACTAAAAATCGGACCTATTTACTGAAACCGAGAGAAACTTTCAGCATTTTATCTTCTTTGTAATGAGCTACTATTAATAATTGTAACTTAACGGGAAGCCAGGTAATTGAGGCAAACAGAAATTACATTAAAAAAATTATGGAGTTTTTAGTAGATAATTATCAAATAGATTTCAATAAAAAGTATTCATCACATATTTTACTTATCATAAACCTACAGCATCATTTTTAGAGTATGATACAAGCTTGCTACAGTAATTTATACACAATTATAATTGTATATATTGTAACTGTTATTATTTTTTTAGTACAGAACAAAAAGTAGTTTATGGACAACTATAATTATATAAATTATAAATGTTACTACTTTATGAGTATAACACACAAAAAAAATTATATTTCATATTATTAATCTTGTTTTGTTGATGTTTTCACTTTTATTATGTGGTCTAAAGTATACATCTTTATTGACAATAGTTTCTTTATGGTTTGCAAAAAAAAAATATCCACCCTGTATAGAATAATTTATCAAAAAATTGATTGAAAATAATATTGAGGATTATTCTTAATTGAATTTTTTCTAACTTTAGAAATAAATGGTTCATTGCCATCCAGAAGCTAGCTATTTCATTCCCTACCAGCACCAATCTTTGGGTTTCTACTGAAAAAAATTCTTTAACTCTTTTTTTTTTTAATTTTTTTCCTTAAGAAAGTCAACCATTGCTCTGAAAAGATAAAAATACAAAGGCACAAGATCAAGGTTATAGGATGGGTGCAGTAGAAGTTTAATGGCATCCATTACATTAACTTTTTGCTTTGTGTGTTGGAAAGTGTGCAGCTGGACATTATCCTGGCTGGAGACATTCTTCCTACTAGTTCCAAAGACGAGTATTACCTTTGATTCTCAGGAAATTATCCCCACATATACCATTCCACTAAGGCACAAAATCGGTATTGTACAAAATAAAAGCTCTTGTCATGCTCAAATGCCATGAATGGGGTACCGTTGGATTTAGAATTTCACAGGAGGTTAACAGATTATGCTCTCAGTTTTTGTTTTTCTTTCTAAAATAAATAAAGTTGAAATAAACATTTCTCTAGGATACAAAGTTTCTGCTTTATTTTTCATTTCTTCTGATTTTATCTTTGCTGCTTTTGTACAATCATCAATATTTTGTCTTTTTAGTGGCACTTTTAACTGGCAGTAGAAGCCAAAATTGATTCTAGCAATCTAATAATTAAACATTATTATGAATACCTTATCTTCTCACAATATTCTCTAAACACAATAGAAAATATTTTCTACTATCTTTTTACTTTCATTGATTTCATTAGGTTAAAACAATCTTGAGGCAACATGGATCATTTTTCAAAAAAACATGTTTAAATCGGTTCATTATTTTTCATGATTAGCGGTTACAAATGAAAAACAAGCTTCCTTTTTACATACTATTCTTTTTTTATAGTATACATTTTTGAATTAATAATACTGATTGAAAAAATTCACATGATAAATTGATCATTAACATTTATAAAAATGATAACATAATATAGAAATAATAAGAATAAGGATTAATATTCTCTTTTCCTTATTTTTTTAAAAATTATTTATATTTCTGTTTTGTATTTACATATTGCATGAATGAATACTTGTAGCCCTAATACTTAATGCCCTTCAATGCAGTATATAGTATTAATTAAACTCATTAAAAAAATATGGAAATAAATGAATGCAATAAATTTTGATGAAGAGGTATTGTTTTCTCAGTCAATTACAATAGTTCATCACTGAAAATAATAAACCTAAACAAGTATACCAACTCCAATAGGCATATATTTTATTTGAAGGTCTTAAAGATTATGTCAATGTAACCATTGGCGTTAAGGAAAAAATCTAAATCTCTAAAATTGTACTAGTAGGTACCGATGGTGCCTACACCTAATTTGGATTCCGAAAAAATATTGATAACTTTTCACTGCACAATCCACTAGGAAGTTCTTGTAACGTTTTGTGAGTGCAGCCCTGATTAAGGCCTGAACCTTGGGCCGAAACACCTGCTAAATAAAAATAAATATAATTTATTTATTTTTACTTAGTTACTTGTGACTGCATACCCCAATCAACTCCTCTTCAATAGATCCGCTATCAAAAAGCTATATAACTCAGGATGTCAGACTTCATCAAGAATGCCCCATATATAAATCTGAAATTTAGCATATAGTGTCGAAGCAATCCGGATGTTAGCATATAGCATACAATTAGCATACTCAGGTGACAGAATACTTCTTACTAAGTAACAGTCCCTCAGGAACTAATACAACTGGATCATTTCCCCAAGAAAAGTAATTAATTAGAAAAGATGCATGGATTAAGTATGGTATGGTAGTGTGGTGTATGGTGGACTCTCGGGGGAACTCGAAGCTAAACTTAAACGTCTAATGAATTGCTCATCTTCGGGATCTCAAGGGATATGCATATTACCCAGTTTTACACTGAGTTGAAGTGGCTTTATCCGTCCTACCACCATCAGTATTTCCTTGCTACCTTCCTATACCAATCTATTAGAACTCGATGACCCTCCTATATTCTACAGATCTTACAATTCAAACGCTCCTTTCAATTCCGTCCCACCAGATCCCGTACGTCCGACCTCTATCCTCCTCCTCACCAAACTGCTGTTTGACAAAACCTTTTTAATTCAAGTTGTCTCCTTCTGGAACTCTATACCCTCAGATATTCGACACGCAAAGTCAGTATCCTCTTTCAAATCTCTCCTCTTCAAACACCTACTCCATTCCCAATCCGATTGATCACAAAATACACTTAAAAACCTAAGCTGTAAGAATCTCTAAGTACCCCCAGATACTTTGATTATTTTGTGATTCATTGATATTTTGTTTACTTAATTTACTTTCACTGTTTATTTTATATTTATGCACGATTTTATATCTTTTTATTATCTATAATTTTAATGTATTCCTAATCATCCTGTAAATATTTAATTGTATTTTATGGACACACTAGAATATTAATATATCATCTGTACTTGTAACTTGTTCTAAAGGGACACTAGTACTAGAATAATAAAATTATTTTCATTCATTCATTCATTCATTCATTATAGCTGCTTAGGACTGCCTTAATTCACATGATCGATATTCATTATTTTGTAATATATAGTGGTGTGAATAAGTCTTCAAACAAACCAAATTTTTATAAAAATGATAAATGTTTCAACTAAAAAGTGTTTTTATATTCCTGATTATTACTTATAAACTAATTTAACCATGAAGACAATGGTAAAATTACAACATTTGTAGATGTAATTAGCATTATTCTTAATTAACAACAAGCCAAGGGACAAATACGGGATGTTGATGGTTTTTGCCCTCTGAATAATGCTACCTTATTGTTCATATTGCACTACTTTGTTATCTAGATCATTATTTACTTTTTATTGTTAACAACAAGAGCCATTTTATAAATTCTATAAGCCTGAGAGTATCTGTGAAAATTGTCTACTAATATAGCAATTGTTTGTTTGTTGTTTCAGTAATTTAATTTAACATTCTATATTTCATAATTTCTTTTTATTTTCTATTTAATGTTACTTTTATTTTTAAAAAAATGGAAAAATATCCACATTTTTTACAGTTATCTTGCAGAAAAATAAAGTTCTGCCCACTCAGATGAACCCCAGATGGTATTGCATGGTTAGTAATAATGCTATGGTACCATTTTGCATCCAATTTTCCATCTATTCACTAGAGGTCTCCAACCAAAGATCAAGAAACACACTCCCAAACCATTAAGAACCCACCTCCGAGGTTTGCTCTTGATTACGAACATTCATTCGAATATTCCACTCCAGATCTTCTCTAACATACTGCCTCCTTCCGGAACCAAACATTTCAAATTTTTACTCATCTTTCCTTAAAAAGTTTGTTTCATTCTTCTTCCGTCCAATTTTCATGTGCGTTGGGCAAACTAAAGTCGACTTTGCAGGTTAAGTGAATGAAAAAATGGTTTTCTTATGGGAACACAATCTTTAAGGCCTAATGATAGGAAGGAGCCAATTCTTCTCTGCTAGATTTTTAGCAGTTGCGCCAACACAAATAATTTTAAATGTTGTTCAGCAGCAGGATTATGTTTTTTAAATCTGCCTGAATGTTTCAAATCTCGATTTGGATTGCTTTTATTTAAAAAATTTATGACATAAACAATACCAAAAATAGAATCTTCACCTTCTGTTTGATTTTCCCTGATTGAAAGTTCTTGTTGATGCAAAATTATAATTTTATGTCAGTCAAAAATATGATATTTTGTAATTTTCTAAAACAAAAGTAACATTAAATAGAATGAAAAAAATTATGAAATATTGAATGTTAAATTAAATTTCTGAAAAAAAAAAGCGGAGGATACCAATAATATAACAATTTTTACATTTATACAATGGTTCTTAATGTTAATAATAAAAAATAAATACTGAAGAGGATAAAAAGTAGTGGAATTTAAACAATAAGCTAGCAATATCCAGCACCTGAAAATAAGGACAACACAAGGGATTTTTAAATTAAATCAGTTTACAATTAAGAAGATAAAATTCCAGCTTCTTTTCTCTCCAAAAAAAAATGGATAGTTTTAAAATTGTATTATAATTATGTTTTAAGTGATATATAACATCAATTATAATACAATTTTAAAACTATCGATTTTTTTAAAATTGTATTATAATTGATGTTATATATCACCTAAAACATAATTATAAAACTATGAGATAATGATATTTATTTCATACAATAATAATATTATATTATCAACTGCATTAAGGACATAGCAGCCAAAAAATAAAAACAAATATTTTTTAATAATTCTAAAAAGTGTCTTGTTGACCCTGTGTTGCAAAGTAAATTTTGATTGAATCATTTTATTAATATATTATTATATTAATTATCATTTAATAATTATTATAACAGGATCAATTGATCATACACATAATAAACCAAGTACTAGAAAAGAAATACTTAAAAAACAATAAATAATTGATTATTTTCTAAATGGATAAATAAAAGAAAATAGGAAAAATATAAGCATGCGTATTACTTTTATGATTTGATTCTTAAGACAATTGTAATGCAAAAATACATGTACCATTTGATATCAAAATACCTTAATGACACCTTTTGTGTCTGTCCTGAAGTTGAAATCTCCGAACAAGAAGAATGGAGCACTACCGTGTTTATCATTATGAAACCTAATAATTAAAAATTATTATTATATTGTCTATTAAATATAGATAAGTAGAAATAATACAATTTCTAAACCTACCTGTCAAGTGTGTACTCCAAAGCTCTTTGCCTTGTTTTGGAATAGACTGAAGGAAACTGAGAAACATGCACTATAATTAATATATACATAAATAATTAAAAATACTGATCTTGGAACAAAAAGTATTCTAAAAATTACTAGATATCAAAATAATAAATAAAAATAAACTTACATTCTCCATTGCAACAAAATTTGAAGCATCGTGGAATAAATGTATATTGATAAGATCAAATACTGTTCCATTTAGATTCCACCTAGTCCTTTGAAAGCCTTTCCGAGACCACTTACACTATATTAATAATTAAAGGAATTAGGTCAAATAATGGAATCAATTATCTCATAAACAACAAATGTGTCATATTCATGATTCTGAGAAAGAACCAAAAAATATATTTTAAAAGACGAAAATCAACAAATAAATGTAAATAATCAATCTGTATTATTTCTATTATCAATACAGTATTATTACTTAAACATTGTGCTCTTTAACAATAAAAGAAGTGAAGAATATATGTAGAAACATCCTTAGCTAAAAATCTGTCAAAAATGACACATTTGCTATTTCTTAAATAACCGAATCTATTGTAAAGTAAGAAAAATTAAAGCCAAATAACCAATACTAACTTCAGGAAAAAAGTCTTGAGGAAATTTAGATTTTTCTTTTGTAGAAACATCTTCTATATTTCCAGCAAATACTTCTTTTCCTTCTACAGCAATAAAGCAAAGCTCTAGGAAAATGAAAATTTGCATTACTTGTTTGATTTATTATTATTATTACAATTTATTCTATCATGATATAAAACTATACCTTCAAAATCCCACATGAGAACATCAGATATTGATTCATGTATGAAGTAAAAGTTCCCTAAGGCCTAAATGAAACATCAGTAAATACATGAGAAATATATAATAAGAATTTTATAAAAACAGTGAGCACGAAAGACAAGAATAACTTTTTTTTTTGTTTAAATTGGCAAATATCAAGTGATAACATTTCTTAACAAGGCAAATCCAATGAACGCAGGTCTCTAATTGTTAGTTCCAATCAGAACATTGAGCAATTTATAGGCACTGAAAAGTACTTGTATGTACTTATTTTAGAGTTCATTACACTGTTTATAAATTTATATACTTACTGTAAAATTCTCAGCAGAAGAATAATCTTCATCAAGATAAATTCGAACTTTATCAAACATTGTAAGTTCATCACTTTCCATTAAAAGTCTGAAAAAATTACAATGTATTATTTTTTTTCAGCACATTAAGTTATACACAGCGTGGATGTTTATATAATATATATATAAGCGACAACATATACTTATAATTAAATAGCTGCCCATAAATCTCAATGAGATACATTATATCCATATAATAAAATATCGCCTCTTTAAACATGAGTATATATTTAAACATATATTTTTCCGAAAAAATGAAATGAATTTAAAATATGTTACTTAACAATAAAAATAAAAAAATATTAAAACTAAATATTACAAATTAAGACTAACTTCACAAAATATTCTACATGCTGCATGCTTTCCTCATAGTTTTTCCCACCGACTTCTTGACAATGCAATGCAACAAATTTTGGTTTCAACCGAATCACATTCTGAAACAATTTAAATATAATGCTTACTTCCTAATAAGCCTACATATTTTTTTGTAGTCAGTGAATAAGTCTTACTTCCAAGAACTCTTTGGTCCACATTTTAAGCATGATAGAAGGCTAAAACAAAATCATTAGAAAAGATTGAAATATAGCAGGATAGAAATAATTTAAATTTGAAAATATTTAGATATAATTTTAAGGAATATAATAGAATTAAAAGTATAAAAATACATTTCATAGATAAAATGTGATATAAAGTTTATATAAAAAATAAATCGATTTTTAATAAATACTTGGTTTAACTTTAACTATTATAGACTGAAATTATTTTATGGAGAAATAAACTCACATCTTCAAATATAGAGCCTACATTAGCTGTCACCAAGAGGATTGGAACTGAGTCAGAAGCCATTGCAATAAATATTTTCTTAATTCTCAACGAATAAGGAGGAAAAAGAAACTATGAGCTAAATATTAGAAGTAAAAACATTTATTTGACAGGTCTGACTTAGACCGTGCCATGTTTTGAGTCGGTTCCCCACTTACAGATCTTTGCCGCCATACTGAAGTCCACCTAGGCCACGCCCCCTTCATTGACGTCAATAATCTCGGCGCTATTCATCAAATTTGTTTAGGGGAGGGATTGGAGAAAAAACCGAATAAATAGTTGAGCGATAAAAGCTCTCTAACGTATATTGTGACTTCTAGTAATCGTAAAAATTGACTGATAAATGATGTAACATGGCTATAGACTATTATTGGGATATACTGGCTTCCTGTTTCTAAATAAAGACTGCGCACATCACTGGCACACATTTATTGACTTCGGTTTAGGATAGTGTTCTGTTTCAACCAAGTCCACGTCTCACCTTTTATCAAGGTCCCCCTTATCACTTAGCCCTTAGGTGTACTAGATACTAATCGAATTCTTTCTACCCTTTTAAACATGGTAAATTCAGTCCCTACTTTCATCATGCTAATAATTAAATCTACTGCTTTGGTTTTAGTAACAAAATATCGCCTTTTTGCAGGCATTAAAGGAAATATGTTATGCCCTTTTAATTATTTCTGTTTCTCGGGGAGAAGAAATATTTACCTCAAAAATATTCATAAAAAAGATAGACCCAACCTTTTTCAACTGGACTGAAAATTGTAAGATTTGATATATTACCACTACCTATCACTAAAATCTCTCAATGTTTGATGCTTCTAGCAAATCTAATAAACTAAAATCTAAGACTTTTATTTTAACTATGATGCATTATTTTTTAATCACTACTGTATGTAGAATAGTTTCAAATAAAGAAGTTTTGTGATATCATTACGCAATATATGTTGAAACCGATTATATATTAAAAAAAGAAATAATATTATTTATTTTAACAAGAATAAGATAGACTATATATACTTAATAATATAGACTGTATAAGATATATACAATAATAAGATAAGACTTACACTAGCGGATCCAAGATTTAATTTTGAGGGAGCTTTAGCCCAGAAGATTTTTTTTTCATATACATATAACAATAATTAATTTTAAAAAAAAAGGAAGAAATTAACTACCCATATGAAATTGTGATTAAGTAGTTCTTGAAGTCCTATTAAATGTAATTAAACGAACAAGAATACTTTAAGAGATAGTTTTTAATATTTTTTTCTGTAAAACATGGTTATATTTTACTACTTTGGGGGGCTTCAGCCCGAAAGTGCCTCTCTTAATAGATCCGCCTGTGTATACTTACATATAGTCATTACATATTCCTGTTGCACCTCCATTATCCCATAGGCTCCTTTTATATTTTATTAAATATCCTACCAGCATAATACACACACTTATCTTATTATTCAAATTTAAAGATAAATGTTAAAATCTAAAATATATTTTTTAAATCTAACCCATGGGAGTTTTTTTTTTATTATATTTTATTATTATTTGAAATAATAAATTATTTTTTATTTACATTTTTACCAGTAAAAACTATCAATAATATTAGAGAATTTTCCAAGAAAGCAGAGTAGTATACTTACTCTTCAGTTGAATTTAAGTCATCATACTTGGCTCTTCAGGGTGCTTTTAAGCAGAAAATTTCTATATTTTGCTATTAGATAAAAGTTATTAATTATTTTTAAACAAATATTTATCTTATGTTATAAATTAATATCCACATAAATTACTTAATCAATATTGTTTTAGTTATTAAGTATAATCAACATAATTATGAATTTTATAAAAATCAGTAGGCGGTTTAATTTTTTTAAACTTGAAATTGTATAAAAATAAGGTAATTAAAGAAGTAACTACTGCCTTAAAAATTTTGGTCTTTTAGGTTATGAAATAAATTGTCAGAAAGGATATGTTTATGGTCTCTTTATTAGTAGGGATTTTTTAAAATATTTTTTGTTATCTCTTAATGTTTTAAATATTTCTGATTCTTCAAGCAAAGTATTTATTCTAATACTGTGGAAAAGGAGCTGGAATCGGTTAAACTTTTAAATCTCGAGAGGTAAAATAAAATAAAACACTAACATTAATATCCCACAACAGTTAGAATTGTTTATAGTAAATTTGTCATAAAAGTTATATATTTTGACGTATTTTAAATAGAAATGAGGGGAAGTTTTAAATTCTTATTTAGTTCCCAGTTTGTTAAATATATGCTCCTCTAGTTCTACTGCTTATTGTTTCTTTGGATTATTTTTAATTAAATTGGATATCTTATATTTTTTTATTATCAACAGACATTTTAGCCTTTCATATCTTATATGAATCTCTTGTTTGTCGCAAAAGTCTAGTTAAGGATTATGGAATGGACACTCAAGGGTCTGAATGTCATTTCATATTTTAAATAAATTTCAAATGTTATTTTCTTAATATTTCAAAAGTGCATTATTACAAAAAAAATATATTAAAAATTTCAAATGTGCATACATTAAAAAATACTAACTAATTCAAAGGGGTTTTCGTTCTGATAGTAGTTGTTTTATAGCTGGCATTTTTCCACTAAACTTTCATGTTGTTTTAGAACATTTCTGCTAGAAGAACATTTATATTGTTTCTTAGTAAATTAGCAAGTAATTGAATTCTAAAAGCACAAACACTATTACAGCATCTGTAAGAGGATTTAAATATCGAGCGACACTTGCTAACAATCCTGACTTACCAAGATGGATGTCTTATCTATACAGTGACAGGCATAGAGCTGGTTTTATTTTTGGTGTGCCTCCTCCAAATCAACTAAATTTTAAGGTGACAACCAAATGCAGTAAGTTAAATATATATCCAGAATATTTAAGATAATGATCAGTTTTCTTTTTTATATATATAAGCTTGACGTCATTGGAATCAATAAAGACACTTACGAGACTCAACATAGAACCATACATTTAAATGTAACAGAAAAACAAGGTGATTTTTAAAAATACCTATAATCTATAAAATTCTTTTTAAATCAACAACTCTGAACATTGTAATTATTTGCAGATATTGCTAGGTATGAAGTTCATTTAAAAGTAGATAATTTGAATGTTCAAGATCTCTTTGACACTCATAGGTTACAGAAACTCTTAAATATATTTATGGATGTGCTTTGGAAATCAAGCAAGAATTATCTGTACGTAACATTCCTGGCTTCAGCAGTGAAGCTTGGCGCAAGACTCCCACTCATACCGCAGGAGGGAGAAGGGTATGACAATGTTTAATAATCAATTAATAAATTTTTATTCTCTCCTAATGTTATTTATCATTATACATTAAGGGTTGTAGTTCATCTTGGTAGTAAGGAAGAATTTTCAGAAGAATTAATGGATTTACAAGAAGAGGTTAGACCATTGTTGAAATTCTCCTCTTGCCCTCGAGACTTTAAAAGAACCACAGTTGATAGACACTTTAGATCGCAAGGCTTTCTTCTTGACTGGTGCTCTTTTAGACTCGTAAGTATTTTGGAAGTACTTATGCTTTAAAACGTTTGTAGTGTGTAATTCAAGATGAAGTAAAATTACTTCCACATAATTTTTTAATGTTATTCTAGAAATTTTGCTTTAATTTTTGTTTTGTACTTAATTTTAATTGGATTTTCCTTTATTGTATTATAAGAAAAATATAATGAGTTTGAATTATGATTACCATATTTTATGTTACTAAAAATTTAGCTTTAATTTGTAATTAACTGTAATAATTAATTTTATCAATATTAATTTCTAGAATGAATAATTTTTGTATGGCTCTTTCATTCGATGACAAGAGACTAGACGTTTACTGAGAGTGATGAAAGCTTTTTGAGTTCTATTGAAAGATATTTAAGGGGACCATGAATGACATCTCTGACAGGAAACAGATAACTGAGATAGCCTCTATCAGTTGACATTGTTGTCACAGCCAACCAACATGTCTTTTCATTTTCAGAAAATTCTAGTTACCTTTATAAAAAAAAATTTGATGAACAAAAATCATAATCGATCAATTTATTTATATATTAATCAATTTTCATTTAAAATATCCAAGGTTCCATCTTGAATCTGGATAAATAAATTTTAAAAACTGGTCTGTTAATGCAGAGGTCAATATCCCAACATTTAAATGAGTTAATTTTTACATATATATAATTTAACTATCAAAAGTGATTAATTTATTAAATATATATTCTTTTGTACATATTATGTAATAGAATCATTTTAATACATGTAAATCCATAAATATATGTATGTAATATATTATATATATATTACATGAAACATAATATATATATATTTACTTACTTATATTATGTTAAGTGATACAATAATAATTACATATATTGTAAGGTTACGTTTCCTTTGAAAAGTAAACAAAACAGTTTCTGAATCAAATTATATTTATTTTAAACAATAATTATTTCTCAGGTTGAGTTGAGACAACAAACACACAGTCCTCAATTATAAATATAAAATCATACATTAATAGTACATAACATTTTTATGAATTTCAATTGTTTGTCGGGGTCTACTCTTGGCACACTTTCGAACTGTCACTATTTATATTTCTCTCGCTCTGTTCTGCAGTGAATCTTCTTCTATAGTGTTGTGTTCAACTTCTACAATCTTCTATTCTTCCTTTGTTAGCACTCACTACTTGTTAATCAAATTTACTTCTCTTGATCCTCTTTACTAGCCAGCTACCTAACTTCTCTTTAACATATGGAACTTGCTTCCCCTTCCATCTGTCAATGTCCATTTTTGCAGTAGCTCGTGAGGTCACTGCCTCCGCGCCATTATTTAAAATCACTATGTAATATTTACATTACAATATATTATTTATAAATCTCATCTGTGCTCAGTATATTCAGCCACAAGCTTGATATAATTGTATATAAACTTTCTGGCTCTACTAGAGATGAGTTCAGTTTTCTATTATGAAGATGTAGGAAAACAATAACTCTATTTTCGAAATACGAATATTTGTGTGGAAACAATATAAAATTAGGTTGTAAAATTTTACATGTCATTGTTACTATTTATTGTTTTCCTTTAGGTGAAATTAGACAGTGAAAGTGGTAATGCTCATTACAAAGAAGCAGAAGCTGATATAATGGGAGGGTCAGGTTGGAAATTACCAGACAAATATAATTTACCAACAAGAGACTATATTTCTGAAATGCTGATGACAATTATTGTACCAGCAGCTACTCTTGTCATCCTTTGGCTATTCCTCTCTTTTGTGCTCTGTTTCCAACATCAATCAGTGTGAGTATTCTTATTAATGTTGTTAAAAAAAAAAAAAAAAGATTAAAATGATTTTATTTTTGGTTTAAATTCAATTCTTATTGCAGAAACGATCCAAGGTCTGATAGATTTTTCGATTCACTCTTCTATGTATGTGAAGATTATTACAGGTATTGGGAGGAAAATATAATGTTGAAAATTAACAGCATGATTTAATCTCAAATAGAGTGGATATGATGTACTAATCACCATTCCCGTTTTGTTTTGTGAACAATAAATAACTTGGTTCTGAGAGACTAGAGACATATCATCTGTCAGTAAAATCGTCTCAATATATTACCTCAATGGAATGCATTTATTCCACTGAACTTGATTCATATCTAAATCAATAAAACTTGAATTAACATTACTACTTTCTTGCTTCTCATTAATTAACGTCTTCACAAATCACATCAGTGATAGTGCAACTCTCTGCTCCAGCAACAGAAACACCTAAATTTGAAACCCAAAGTAATATCACATCAGGACCTGTATTCATAAAAATGATTGATAGCTACTATTAAACTTCCAGATTAGTAAAGCCTTACACTGTATCTAGAAGTAATATGATAGCATCAGGATCCATATGTTCATTCAAATTTTGCCTCCACTGGAACCAATTACTTTATTCAGTGGAACCCTCCTTAGATGCACAACTCGTGTACTTCCAGTAATCTCTTACTCCAGCGATACACACTCAGCCATGACCCTTGCATTTTTAAGTATTTATACACCCTATCCCTTTAAATATATTCTGTTAGGAGTATCCAGACTAAGTTGAAACATGCTTAAAACTAATCTTCTAATCATCTCTTCACAGTCTTTTTCTCTTCAGTGGGAAAAATACTAACATTCCTAAATATTTACACAGTACTGCTAAAGTACAATAATTATCTCTGGATTCCAGTAAAGTCTGATAGTGGTATGGAAGGATATTCTTGAAGACCTTTTTTACTTTCTTCCAATCCATGCACTTTTTAAGCCATTTTCCCATAGATCCACAAATATCTTTCCGCACCACACTTCATTTAGGACAACAGAACTTCTTTCCTATCCCAGTCAGATCACCTTCAATTAACAACTCTATTTAACATTCACAAGTAAATTTATGTGACCTAAGGTTGTTGAGATTTTTCATTCCTTTTTTTTATTCATCAATTTCCTTTGAGTCATATTGAATACTTAATAGTTAACCGTTGTATTATTAAGGAAGGAGATGGTCTGGGGTGATGGTCATAAATAGACAAAATAGTGGAAAAACTATTTAATTAAAAGCCAATGTTTCGACTAGACTTTGCAGGTCTTCTTCAGGGAGGTGTGTTTAGCAAGGAGTTTCACTTAGAACTGAAACCAGTTATCAAAAAGACATCTGATTTGAGACACCCAATAACCAGAAGGCATATAAAAGCTAACTGCGATATGTCTAAAAGATGTTTTGATATCCTAAAAAGGTCATCTGAAAGATATCATTTTGATTTCACCAAAAAAATCTTTAGTTTTACAAGGAAAAATAAATAGAAATATCTTTTTTTGAAATACAATTAATTTATTTAAAGATATATAAATGAATTACAAAGTTTAGAATTAAAATATAGCAGCAGCTATTATACTATTTTATTTTCTTCAATGCGAGTTTTGAGTATCGATCACATTTTTTGTAACCACGGTTTCACAACTTCCATCTAAAATCATAAAAGTACCCTTTTACGTTATCTATTTTCAAACTTCTCCAATCCATACTCATAGAAAATATCTATTTCCTTTGCTTTCCATTCCAATGAGATTTATATCATCTCATTTTCTTATGAAACCTGAGCTAAGGTTATGAATGTATATAATGACCATATGATTATTTCAACCACTAGGGGATCCAGGATTTAATTTTGGGGGGGGGGCTTCAGCCCGAAAGTTCTTTTTTTCATAAAAATAACGATAATTACTTTGGAAAAAAAGAAAGAAGCTAACTACCTATATGAAATGGTGTTTAAGTGATCCCTAAAGCCCTTTTAAATGTAATTACACGAACAATAATACTTTAAGAAATACTTTTTAAATATTTTTTCGATAAAACATGGTTATATTTTAGCATTTTGGGGGGGGGGGGCTTCAGCCCGAAAGCCCCTCCCCCCGTAGATCCGCCCGTGATTTCAACCATGCCATCCAATTTTATCGTGAAAAGATATCATTTTGACACCCAATGCAAGACACTTTAAAGACATCTGTTTTAAGATATATTTAAGACATCTTTTAGCCATTGATAAAAGTCATCGAGAAATGGTAATCTGTTATATATCTTTTAGATGTTTTTCAGACATTGATAGGAGGTTGATGAGTTAATTGAAGTGAAGTTAAAGATGAGTTAATATGTATCCCAGCAACAATATGCATGTCCAAGTCTGTTAGACACAATATTATATAGAGTTAAACTGCTATACTTCTAGACCAAGACATTTAAAAATGGTTCCTAAGGAGGGGTGTCCGTTGGAAATAGTTTTCATAAACTCATTTATTGTTTCAAAAATTATAAAAAACAAACATTTTCACTGAAGGAACAAAACATCAAGACTAATTTATATTATTAATATGATTAATTCTTATAGATCATTTTTCAGAAATTATAATCAACTGTCCCTACATATTAAGCACAACCCAAACCCAAATCGCTCCACTACCCAAATTTTCGGACCTCTAATTAATGTTGCAAAATAGCTCGCACAGTCTCAATACATGATTAACTGTTTGTGTGAGTTAATGAAAGATAAAAATGGGAATGACTTCCATGTATCAGGACCTTAAAATAAAGCTTAAAAATTATAAGTAGGCATTTCACATTCTCCATAACATCATTGAAATTACAAATTTATTCACATAAATTAAGTTCCGTTTGTTACAAGGAACCCTCAACTATTAAAGTTTACTTAAAACTCAACATTTAATACTAATTTAACATTAAGATTTTGTTTCTAATTTTAAGTAAAACTTCATATTTCAAAAAAATATTTTTTTACTATTTTAGTAAACAAAAGTCAGAAGATAATGAGCTCACTATAGCACAATATCAAGCTGTTCAACGGGCAACCGATACTCTTCGCTCAATGGATAGTAATAGAAACACAGAAACCAGTCCCAGGTACAGTTTCATTTATAAGTTAATAGATAGTTCTAAGAGAAATTAATAGCTCAAATTATAAAATATGTAGTAGTCTCATCTCAAGGCCTATAAAACTACCAGGTTTGCTAACTCAGAAATGCATAATGAGAGAACTTGAATTGTGACGTAAGGACTAGACCGCCAAACCTACCTATTGCTATTTTGAGCCTATCACTGAAACTTAATTTTAATATTATTGACTTTTTTTTTTTCTAACCAAATTTATTTATGAGAACATCCTCTTGTCTTGTTGATGTTGGATTGAAGAGGATTTCAAGTAGGTAAATAAATAAATAAGATTAGCAACCTAGAATAAAATGTTATGAAAATAACAGGCTAGACCTGAAACAACAAGAGAGAAGTTAATATTAACATTACATATTTTAAATTTCTTTGTTTCAAAGTCACTTACAATGAATGATAGGCAAATATGATATACAAGATTACATAAATAGAAATAACAAATATTTACATATTTAGAGAAATAAAACAAAATTCTAGTGAAATTTGTATTGTAATTTTGTTAATAGATCTTGGAAGTATTTCTTTTAACAACTGTTACAGAGAATTTGTTTGTTGTTGTTTATGTTTCTTCAGTTTATATTCCGCAAGCCAACAGTTATGTTTCTTGCATTTTTTATAATAATATAACTATTATAGGAAGTTGAATTACTTTGTATCAAATATACTTACTTACTGACGGGCTCTACAATCTGAGGTGGATCTTGTATTGAAGAAGAGCTATTGAAGGTTTTCTTTCAAAAACGTGGATTTATAAGAATAAACTTTATAGGTTCTCCAAGAATATTAAAGCAATTAAAACAAAAAAACTTGTAAAAAGAATGACAAAATAGAATTACTTATGACATATGTAAGAATGTCATATTTAGAAAAAATTGTAGAAAGAAGATGCATCTTCAATTTTGGATTAAAATCTTTTCTTTTCCTTGAAAATAAATATAAATATCTAATATGAGTTCATGTTTTATAAATATCTAATACAATCTTAATTGGAATTATTATTTCCAGATTGACTTCAGACAGAATGGATACTTGTAGGCCCAACCCTCCTCCATATTCGGCAACCAAAAGAATGTTAGTATTAAATCCTAGTTTTTACTAATTAAATTAATCAAAAATGAATAGTGATTCCTTTTTTCCTATACCAAAATATAAACCCTTGACGCTTTTTAAAGAATTGTTAATATAGTTATATATTTTCGAACAGGCATCTTGAAGCTCGAGTTACTAGATATTAAGAAGTAATAAACGATTAATATTTGTGAAGGATCTAAGGTTTATTGTTGCAAGAAAAGCCTAGATAGATTTCCTGTCTATTATGATTAAGCGTCAAGTATCTACTTAATAAATTAATAATACATAATTGGTAAATGGTTGACTGTAGTGGATAATGGAGAGAAGAATAGTTGGGGTGGTCAGTCAAAAAAAAAAAAGAAGGCAAAAATAAATATTATCATTTATTTTTGCCTTCTTTTTTTTTGACTGACCACCCCAACTATTCTTCTCTTCTAAATTAATAATAGGTGTGTGTGCCACAGTAGGATATTCTGAGAAGCCAATTCAAGACTGGCCAACTTTAACTATTTCATTTTCTTCAATGTGATTTTTGGATTTCGATTACCTTTTTGTAACCGCGGTTTTACAACTTCTATCATGTCTGTATCCGTTGCTTTGTCGACATTATTAGAAAGTGTCTAAAATCATAAAATCTGCACATGAATGATATTGTTGATGATGATGATGAAGTCAGTATTGAATTATTTATTTTCCAATTTTCTTAATGAATGTTATATTACCAACATTGTCAATGAATTTTATCGAAATTCCATCTGCAATTCTAAAAAAACAAACTTCAATTGGTTATGCCAGATTAATATAAAAAATCTTAAATGCACTCACATATCAGGATCAAGTAATGACAACTTCTTTTATGTTATCTATTTTCAAACTTCTTCAATCCATACTCATAGAAAATATCTACTGTCTTTGCTTTCCATTCAAATGGGATTTATATGGATTTTTGTATGAAATAATTAAAAGTTCAAATCCCCTCGGCATAATTCCCCCGCTCCAGTAATAACCCCATGTACCTAACAGACAAGGAAGGGGGAGAACAAAAAAAAAGAATATTTTATTCAATGTTTTGTGCTACTTACTAATTTAAATTTAAAAATTGTAATTAAGACATTAAACTACAAGGTTCAGGATGATTGAGCAGATTTGGTTTATGAGAATTAAATAACGTTATCTGCTTACGTTATGCCACAGAATCCAATGGCAAATTCAAAATATAAATTTTAGGCAAAATTCTACAATTTCAGGATGCCCGAAATTTCACTACTTGAAAAGCTTTGGTTTATATTAATTAAATAACTTTTTATGTTGTGATTGACATACAGTCATATTTTTATATATCATTCTTTCCTTCAATTATTCTATTACCGACATTCAAAGATATAGCACATTTAATGAAGATATAGCTTGTTAGTTCTTAGCTATTGAGTTAACTATCAGTCTTTTTTCAAAACTTGTAATCTTAGCTGAAATTTTCACCAATGTTAGGAGGCTTAAAATTTTGAAATATGATACATCTATACGCAAGTCTATTTCTGGCCGTAGGTCATTCATTGAAGTTATTATGAAGCCAAGGTGTTTGAATTTTTCTTCTCTCGGGAATGATTTTCCTTCTATGCAGATTTTGTTATTGGGATTGAATTTTCAGCTTATTATCATATATTTTATTTTCTCTTTATTTACTTGATCTGCTCTGCCTCCCTTATCAGTATTTCAGCGAGTTTCTCAATGTCTTCTTGTTTACTTCCATGGACAGTTATATCATCTGCGTATTCAAGATTTTTATGAATCACATTTTGAAATATGATACATCAATTGAAAGAATCTTCATTTTCTCACTGACAAAATGAACTTAAAATTAAACTGCTTCTCTAATTTATGCTCTCTCAATTCCAACTTTTAAAAAAAATCAAATTGATACTAGCTTTGTCCTAAATTTCAATTATCTACAACTTATTATACAAAGCACTAATCACTTAGTTTCTTTTGGAATCTTAGCAATACATTTTTCTTATTTTTTGCTTTCATTAATTTTAAAAGGAATTTTTCCAACCAAAGCTTATTTCAATGTTTACTTTAGAAAAAAAAATTATACTGTGATATTTTCTTTAATTTTTAGAGCATATTCTGAATGTAAAATTGGTGAAGATGTCATCATTGCTTCAATGAGTTATGATATCAAACCTACAGTAAATGTACATACAAGCAAGAATCAGTGTTAGTATGAATGGTCTGGTCAAAAGTCAAGCTTTTTTAGTTTTTCTTTATATAAACTTTTCTATTTTGTTTTCACATTTCTAATAACATTTAAGTTTTTTAGACAAATCTAACAACAATTTTACTTTCTTACAAAGTTTGAACATAACTTTTTTATGTTTTGTTTTGTACTTTTATTTTATAATTTTGTTTTTTGTAATAAAACTAATGCAGTATTAATAGTATAAAAAATTGTGTGAGTGATTCCACAGTGGAAAAAGTCAAATGTTGATTCTAGTTGCTTTGTTTTGTTGATAGAAAAGAAAAACAAAATTAAATTATGTTCGAAGTCTCGATAGCTTATGAAATATTTTTAACTTCCATTATTGATTTAAGGAATTGATAATGTAAATAATTTAACAAATATTTACAAATCATATTAATATACATCACTTTAATAGCAAACGAGACTGGATTTACAGATGTCAAGTGACAGGAGAGGAATGAACTAGATCAATTCTCTTACCGGCTCAAGTATATTACCCCCTAAATGTCATAGACATCAAAAAGCATGATTATTAATAATCAATTCTTTAAAGTCATCAGTATTTTGTTATTTAACAATTAATTTTCATAATTATAAATTGGGGATTTTGGATTCAAAAGTAAACGAGATATTGGTAATATTTTTTATAATTTTAACTTTCCATAATGAAAGCATGAAAGCACATGCTAATATATCTGAATCTTTTAATGTAAAGGACCAATGTTCAAAACGATGAAATTTGATTGAAATACACAAAAGAAATCAGTGTGGAATGTATCTTAATTGTTAAAAGGGCCACCCATTATTAGTTATTCTGAATAGCTAATAGTTGCAAGGCATTGATCCTTTTAATAATGAATGTTTACCCTATTCTAATTTTTTTTTGTTCTCTCAAATTTCTAAGCTTTAGAAATTGATATTTTTTTTTCCAAAGTACAGATTCAGTAGAGTATACTATGGAGATAAAACAATATTTATATATATTTTATCTAACGTACTATATACACAGTTAAACAGTTAGCCCAATAACAAATTGAAACAGTTCAGCTGACAGAGTTGAAGAAAGTAAAAAAATTACTGGACATCTGAAATACTGAGCTCTTTTAATTTATTTATACTTATTCAATTTCGAAGTTCAAAACAACAGTTTTCAACACAATCTGTCTACACTTAAAAACAACTAACATTGATTAAAACACAGGAGGCAGTTTTCAATTACATAAGTCAGATGTGAGCTAATTTAAGAGAGTGCATGTAAGTTTTTATTTGTGTGTATTTAATGTTCAATTTGTTTTTTAATTTTTAATGATGCAAATACATTCAAAAATATTTTTTTCAGAATATCAGAAGACTCTTGACACTTAGCTTTTGAAGCAGAACCAAAAACATGGTATTGCTAACTATTCAGAGGATGAACCAGTGTTTCCATAAAGGAATAGAAAAATAGCAACTTTAGCAAATTTATTATTTAAAAATTAATATAAATATTTTTTTTATATAACATTATTTTCATTCACTTGTATCAGGCAATAAATATTATGCTAAATGTTATTCAAAAGTTTATTTTAAAAACCACTTTAACATTGATGAACCTCCCAAGGTTTTTCAGGCCTTTCAACATCAGAAGGTTTAGGGTGAACATATCTAGGTGCTTCAGTTAAATTAATTCCAGATTTAACAAGTTCATTTAAAAAAAGTTCCACTTTTCCACCCTTGGGTGAAGGTAAATCACAATACATTTCTGTTATTCCAGTTTCCAGACACCGTCGGCCTAAGATGCGTCCCAAATTGGTGTAGGCAGCTTTATCTAGAGTACTATACAGGTATTTTTTTATTGCCCATTCTTTAGTTGATGCAGTAACAGGAACAGTACCGGAGAAATGTTGAACACTCGCTGTTATGTTTCTTCCAGTTACCTCAAGAACTATTTTATGCCAATAAGACTTTCCTGGTTTTTCCAAGTGCCAACCATCAGGCTTGTAGCCTATCGTAAGTTTTTCCAAATTTCTAGGATTACGGTTATGAACATAACCTGCAACTGTAGCATAATTGCATACTGATTTTATTATTTGTCTGTTCATCCTGTCTACCTAATGAAAAAAAAGAGTATGTTTAAAATACCAATTTTTCATTAATATTATTTAATTTAAATTATTTTATAAAGTTAATTAAATAATTTAAATTATATAAATATATTACTACAACAACAGCTATAGAATCAAACTTCTGCACTATTATTTCTAGGATAATAATGGTTAACTAAACTAATTGCTAAAAGATATACACATTTATCTTTTAAAAATTACAATAAACCAGTAAGCATAATGTGGAATACTTAACAAATCAAATATATTCCAAGAGAAAACTGGAAGCAACAACTTAGACAGCTCTTCATTGAATGAATGGAGAATAAAATCCACAAATAAGGCATATGGGGTAGTTCCTGAACTCAGTGCTAATTCCATTGATGGAATTGATCGATCAATTGAACCTAGGGATGGATAGCAATTTATGCGGAGTTTAAGAACAACAGCGAAATGTTATCATAACACTCTTGGAAGTTAACAAAACACATGAAAAAAAAAAAAAGATAAGAAAATACCTACGTACTGAATTGTTGAATTTCAAAAGAGAAATAAATTTAGATTAGAAAGTAAACTCAGAAATACCGATAATGAGGTTAAAACAAAGGGATCCAATGACCCCAAAAGCTAATGAAAATACTGAGTCATAAGTGATTCAAATGATAAATAAAGTAACGCACAAATCTGATCGATGAGTTTAAGAACTTTCCCTACTTCGTAGAAATCATGTTTTACAAATTTAAAAACAGAGCAAGTGTTCAGAAAATAATACTGAGTAATTAGTAACTAATCCAGCCATCTATTTCATCCAGATCAGTTAAAAAATAAGATTTAGTAAACTAAATTATTATTTTGTGAGTTGTAAGTATGAAAATAATCAAAAGAGTAGATTTGGCTTAAACCAGTTTCACACATACTATAAACCGGGGGTTATTTTGGGAGTAGAGGCTAGAAAAGCTAACTGTACCAGTGTTTATTTTGAAAATGAAAATACCCGCTGGGCTAAAACATTGTTTTCATTCAGATAACTTTTCTTAGTCTTGATATAAAAATGTTCCATTCCACCAGAGGATTTGAAATTTAAAATAAACTCTGGTACAAAATCGCCCTCTTGTCATAAAACGCCATTTACTGTATGTGTATTAGATAACATAAAACTGTTATGCGTTTTGGTAAATGATGCAGTCCAACAAATATGTATATTTGTTTTTTTTTTTTTTTTTATTTCTACATAACTAAATTAATGTACACATGCTTATGTTGGGGTAATGTACAATAAAATAAATTTTGAGTTTTAATAATAAAGACAGTTTATTTTGAAACTATCTCAGTTCACAGGTAAAAAGTTTGAATTTATTAAGTTTTTATTTAATAAATATTATGCCACAATCGCTAATAAAAACGTACTTTATTATTGACCTGTGCCATAAAATCTACTAAATAAAATTACATTAAACATAGAAAATATGACAAGGAAATTGATTTTATTGTTATTTTCTGTTCAATTTTTGTAACATTCACAATACAAAGATCTAATGTTTTAAGCACTATTTTTCATTGGTATTTTTGAGAGGGCCAAGATCGATCAGAAAAGCTCAAAACTTTACTTCATATTAAAATAGTTCTTATAAGCTTTTGCAGCATGGCTATCTATTTATTACATTGTAGGTTTTCCTCCTTAATCAATTAAGAATAACCACTTTATAAAGACTGGACGTGCCCTAGGAGGGTATCTTGACCCCAGGATTAATCTACAGTTGGTGTAACAGAATATATAATTATCTGCCAGAGCAGGATTCAAACCCAGAACCAAGAGAATAAGAACAACTCAGAAATAATATTAAGTAGTGGTAGTACAACATAATTCATAAAATCTCACACACTGACTGTGAAGGAATCCCTTAATATCTAGGGGGTAAAGGGGTGAGTTATAATGAGTAAACACTATCTGACTGAATATATAGTCAGGGAAGGCCAATGTGCAAGGCAGTTGGTTGGTTCCGTCTTTTCAAATATAAAAGTTCAATTATTTTTAATTTATTCTCTAAAACATTGAGAAGGTGAAATGAAAGTATTTTTTTTTATTATCCTGGGACTGTTGTCCCTTAAGAATAAATTTGAAGAGAGCCAAGATACCATGTTCTCGCTACAAATTAGATTCCGAGGATTCACACCTGTTCACAATACAACCTCTCTTTATTTATTCTTTGAAAAACTACCTATGGGTGCTTTTCAGTTCAAATCAGAGCCTTAATTAACTTTATCTACTTCACCACTTTCAACTTCAGCTCGCTCAAAAGGGATGAACAGACCCTAATGTATTTTATGCAGTTAAGTGGAGCCTTGCCAGACGGTTGGGTCACTTCTGGATACTCCCAGCCACTCTACCGATTTCATTTATGATGTGATTGTAGAATCTTATGCCACCCATGGAGGTGGAGTAACAATTGTGCAGTAGTACAATGATTTTCATTTGTAAATCTATCTTTATGTCTTACAGTTTTTTTTTTCAAATATACTAGTTAAAGATGGATTTGTATGATACATGGAAACCCATGGGTGGTGTTGGTAGTATGGAACCAGGTTCCACTGACTCTCCATATAATAAACAGCTATAAGAAACTCTCCACTTTACTGTTGTCTCAAATAAATTTTTAAAAATTATTACTTATTAACAACTTTATAGGAAGGTTTTTAAAATTGCAACATTTTATTGAGAATTAAAGAAGTAGTATTCTATAACAATTAGGCCAATATTTTTCAAAATAATAATAGATACATTCATCTCTTTTATGATAACTACTTAAACCCATTTTAGTTTGAAGAAGCAAAAAACTAATTGAACAATTTAGTAATTATTTAAGGTTAGATTTGTAAACATTACAACATATCTCTTTTAACTAACAGGAAAAAAAACAGAATAGATATTGACTTCAATAAAAATTAAACATAATTTAAAAAAAAAATACATCTTATTTTCTATACTCAAAGATTCACTTTGAATTTTATCGATTTGACAAGCTTTTAGTTAGATAATAATTTGCAATCTCTGAACACCATTAAAATATAAATATTCATATTTTTACCAGTGAAATAAATATTGATAATGATATGAGTTATATGGAATAAATGCTTCCACCAGTGGAATAATGAACTTCTTTTTTTAAAAAAGGTAATTAAAGAATTATTTCTTATTCTAATTTCTTATTTTAGGAACAGTAAATTTTTTATATTAGTAAAAATCATTTTTATATCTATGAACATTTTAATTTCCCAAAAATTTAAGACAAAATAACCTCGTAATAAAAACAACCATACCTCCAAATATAACTAGATCAACAATTACACATATTAGTAGGGCCGTAAATAAAATATTTCAATATTTATTGGACACTATGTTAGAAAATCATTTACGTATTACTCACAACATAAGCAGCTGTTATATCGATGACAGCGCCATCTGTCCACTGAAGTTGTTCGTGATCGATGCATCAGTCTTGTGATTCCGTTTATGCAATATTTACGTTGTGATTCATTAATTGTGTAGTCCTTGTTTTTTTTTTTTCTTTTTGTTTTTTAAATCTTGCGATTTTATCTAGGTGGATAAAGGTGAGTAGATTGAATAATAAGGATAGTTTTTAGTTATATGCAATGAGATTCATAGTAAGGAACTTGATAGTTGAATGTTTAGAATATACACATATAAGCCATAAATTTATGCTTCATCCATTTGAATTCAACTAGTGTGTTATTTTCAGCATGGCCCGAGGCTGTTCTGGTTCAGAGAGTGAAGAAGAAGAAAGGCATGACAGGTTTAAATCTGAAAGGAATCCCAGTTTAGTGAAACCTTTGTTTAGATCCTTACCAAGTTCCCTAGATAATTATACATCAAGATCAAGGTCTCCTGTAAGATCCAATGCATCCAAAAGTGACAGGTATAGGGCAAAAAACAGTGTTGATAGTATATTGTCTCGAAGGGACAGAAGCAGGGAAAGAAAGCGTAGTAGAGAAAGAAAGTCATCAAGGGAAAGAGACCGGAATAGTGGGAGCTCTGAGGATAAAAAATCCTACCGAAGATCCAATCTTGAAAAAAAAATTGATAATGGACGAGATCGATATGATAATGAATCTAGAAAACAAAGTAGAGAAATGGATGGAAACAATGAAAAAACATGCAAAGAAAGGGATCACAAATGCAAAGACAGAGAAAGAAAACGAAAGAGCAGGGAAAAAGAAAGAACTTCGTGTAATTCTAAACGAGATATTAATGAAGAAATTAGAGAAGAAAAAAACAGTAAATTCGAAAGACACTCTAGTAACAGTGATTCTGATTATTTGAAAGATGATAATGTTGATGACAAAGATCCTTACGTTGAGTTAGAAGTTCCAAAATTACCTAGGTATTATGAAATAGTTGATGAATGTGTTGAAGATTCTGAAAAATCGTCTTTGAAAGCTGTATCAGATAACAAATCTTCTAAAAAACATAAAAGATCTAGAGATAAATCGCAGATTCATCATGATAGTAAAAAGCGAAAAAAAGAAAAAAAACACAAGAAAAAACATAAAAAGAGTGAAGGTGATAGCAAAACTTTAATGGCAACTGAAGAAGATTCATCATCCTTACCTGATATCATAGTTATAGATAACCCAAGTGATGAAGCAGTTTCTGGAACTAACAGGAAGTCTGATTCAGAACAAGAAGAAGGAGAAATATCTGGTAGTGAACCAGAACAGTATTTTGGGCCAGCATTACCCCCATCAAAGACGAGTGAGGAAAAACTTTTTGGACCCAGTTTGCCAGGAGATGAGGATCGTTATGGACCTGCTCTGCCCCCAACCAGTTCATCAATGGAGGAGGAGGTGCTGAAGGAAGAAGATGAAGAAGGTGAGGACATCATTGGGCCGCTTCCTGTAGGACAGGAGAATCTCGCACAAGCAGCACTTGACATCAGGGCTTCTCTTCTCAAAATCGAAATGGATAACAAGGTTCACTATTTCTTTAAATCATTTTTATTTTCACTCACCTGTATAAGAAATATTTACTAACAGAAAGTATTAAGGTTGCCTGACTACAAGTAACCATGTCTCGCATTATGGTGTGTGCAAACAACTTAACTAAACATAAAGTTGTACTAAGTTAAGATAGGTATATACGGTGCATGTTTCAAAAAAATTTTTGTCGAAATTGATTTACTGGCATTAGCACTTTATTTTCTTGATTTTATATATTTTTACAACTTTTTCAAAACAGCTCTAATGATTTTGATTAGACTTGTTATATCAATGTAAAATTAAATATTCTTTATATCATACAAATAATATCCTCATTGAAATAATTTTACCGAGGTTTTTAGCCTTCTCTCATTTTGAGTATTAATGAAAAATCTATCAATATTAACTATAAATTATTTGATGCTTAACTAACAAAGAAAAAAAAAGAGAAATATTTTTCCATGTTGAAAACATATTTTGGAAATAAAAATAGAAATATATATATATATAAATATAATAATAACAATGTAATGCATATAATATGCTTTTGCATGGTGTATGGACATTTCTAAAAAAGAATCTTCTGTAGGGTTACTACAGAAGAGGCATATATTCCTTAGAAATGTCCATACACCATGCAAAAGCATATTATATGCATTACGTTGTTATTCAAATTTTTTTTTGTTATATATATATATATATATATATATATATATATATATATATATATTATATATATATATATATATATATATATATATATATATATATATATATATATAAAATAGCATATTACAAAATGTGTTGGCTAAAGATATTTTAAAGGAATGGCACTTTAAATATATTACAAAGAGAAAATTAAGTAATGGATGATTAAATAACAGTATCAGATGAGTGAACAGTACCAAAATGTACTAAAAAAGAGAAAATATAATAAACAAATAAATGAATAAAAAAAAATATATGATTAGGCAAAAACAAAAACAAAAATTATGTGGAGAAGAAACAAGTTTTACAAGTCCACAATTGAGTATCTACAAAATATGAAATAAAATACATAAGTCTGAGCTACACTAAGTCTGAAACATTATTTTTTTAAATTGTTATCCTCAAAAGTATATTACATAAAAGTTCTATGCTCGAATGTTACGTTGTAGTTCTATTCAATTAATGAATTCTTTTAACTGCTTCTTATATTTTTTGTATTGTAGGGGTTCGGGAAGAGGCCATGTATCCCCTTTCGTTGAAGAGGATTTCAGGAAGGTGGCTCTTTTGTGTTCGTAGAACTGACCATCGTTTAAAATGTGTATGAAAGTTTGTGGAGTCAGACTGTCGCAATTGCATGCATCTGTCCTCTTTTAAGTGGAATCTGTTTAGATATTGGTTATTAGGGCCGTGTTCAGTAAGGAATTGGGTTAATTTATAATGGGTGCTTTTTGTTGTATTGCAGTTTTGTAGGGTGATGTTTGGAATTGGTTTATGTGATGGTCGTCTGTTGGTAGATTATTACCAATGTCTGTTCCACTCTTAGATTAAATCAGTCCATAAAAGTTTTTTTAAAGTAAGTGAAGAAGGCTAAATATCAATATCAAATCATAAGGCAGTTGAATATCACAAGCAGCTACTTTTGCCATTGCGTCAGCATTTTTGTTTCCATGGACGCTGCTCTGTTCTTTTACTCAAATCAGTTGTTATTTATGTCCGAGTTCATTAGTTCGATATAATTGTTTCTAATTTGAGTTGTTAGTGGGTCTTGTATTTTATTGAGTAAATAGCTATTTTATTGTCCGTTTAGGTGTTGTAGGTAGATTCTATTTTGTCTTTTTATCTTAAAATATAGTCTATAGCCATTATGACTGCCAGCTTTTCTGCCTGATTATTGGAGCAATTCTGTCCAAGTCTGTATAATTCTTCATAATAGTCGCCATCTCCTTCTGTAATAAATGCGCAGCCTGTTTTGTGTTCTTGTTTACTTCCGTCCGTGTAAATGTCCACAATGTTTGTTTATAGTTCTACTGTTTTTTCCAAGTACTGTTCTAGTTTGGCTTGTATTGATGGGTGTCACCGTTGTTCTAAAGTTTGGTCCTGTACTATGTCTTTGTATCCCATTGTGTGTGTTTTTTTATTTTGTATATTGTATTCCGTTCTGTGATTTTGTAACGTTGGAAGTATACCTGCTAAGACACAAGCTGCATCATATGATATGATCTTAAATGCTTTGCTTATCCTGATGGCCATAAGCCGCTGTACATGTTGCAGTTTGGTGAGGTTGTTCTACTTTTTGGCACCTGATTCCCACACTGGTATAGTGTACAAGATTTTTGGTACTACAGCACTTTTGTAGATTAGCTTTAATACCTGGGTCCCTAGTCTCCAAGTTAATCTTGCTGCAATAGTGAGGGCATTTACCGTCTGCATGAATCTATTAACTACCATATCCTTGTGGGTTTTCCAATTCAGTCTCCGGTCGAATATCAATCATAGATAATTCATTGTTTCCGTCTGTTGTATTGTTTTGGTGTAGAGTCTAATCTTCAACTTAGGAAATTTCTGCTTTCGTTTAAATAGCATGTATTTTGTCTTGTCTGTATTAAATTCTAGTTTGTTAGCCGTAGCCCATTTTTCTAAGATGATAAGAGATTGGTTGGTCGGGACTTGTAATTTTGGTAATAGCTTGTCTTTTACTAGAAGAAGGATGTTGCCGGCATAAGCTAAGATGTGTGCTCAGTCAGGCAATTTTAAATCGAAAACTGTATTGAGAAAGACCTTCCAGAGTGTAGGAGAAAGACATGAGCCTTGTGGTATACCAGTTGTTAGGTGTTTTTTAAATATGTAGTTGTTTGTCCTAATTTAAATAGTCCTGTCTTCGAAAAAATTGGAAAGTAATATAAAAAGATATTTTTTGGGCAATTGTATTTTCTCAGGATTTCTAATTTAATTGGTGTCCGTGTATTGTCGAAAGCTCCAACAATGTCTAGTTTGAGCATAATGCAATTAGATTTTGTTTCCTGGGCACATAGGAATACCTTGTTATGATTTATATTGTTAAAATAAACTGGCATGAAGATGTAGATTGATCTATGAAACTTCGCCCAAATAACTTAACCAGAATAAAGGGATATAGCTGTTTATTTATGAATAATCTCATAAGATAAAGTATATATATTTTTTATAAAAATAAAAATTCATAGATTGGGAAAAATTATTCTGTTGTTAATTAGCTACTTCTATGTATTAAGTTTTACCAAGAACATCTGCCAGAACATTCCTTCTTCTCTGTTGTTGATATCCACTGAGTAGTGATGAAATTGTTACTCAATTGTTTATCCTATATTCCACTCTTTATAAAAGAGAGAACTACAAAGCAAGGGCGCACCAAGCTAATAGGTCTCAGCTAGTACAATACTGGATTAATATAAGTTTACAGGTAGCTGAGTCTTATTGCTTTCAGTGCAGCAAGATCATTATGTATTAAGTAAACTGTTCTTTCAATATAGTCATTATGCAGTATGACACTTAACAAATTATGTATCTTGTACAGACTTTCTTTAAATATATTGTTCATATGAGAAAAAAATGTTTACCTAATATCACTTATGAATGATATTGGGAGGAGTTTTCTTACACACATATATGGAAATAAAAGAGTTTTTGTTTGTAAGCACCATTTTGGAGTTATATATAGAAAAAGTTTTAAAAATTTATTGAGTTATTGATTTTTTTTCTTTGCTTTATTTTTATCTGACTAATTACTTCTTTTAGTTACTAAATATTTGTATTTATATATTAAAATTAATTATAAATCTTTAAAAAGATAGAAAAACAATTTTTTTGCTGGAAGTGGCTTGTAAAATTATAGATATTATAAAGTCAAAATAAAGTAGAACAATATTCTAGATGGCTAATTCTACTGGTGTAGGTTAATCAGTATTAGTGGATTTGCTTTTAATGAACAAAGCCTCATTTTTAAAATATGGGAATAATATTTTTCATTATTCTGTAACTATTATATATTTTATAGTGTTCAGTGATAAATAAATATGTGAAGATGGTTATGAGAGCAAGCAAAAAAAAAAAAAAAATGTAGAACTATTTAATGTGAGTAAACTATCTCTATTATGAATATTAGAGGTTTACGCTATGTTTTCTTATTATTTCTATTTGTTTATTCTTTTTCTGTTATTTTTTGTTGTTACACTAAGCTAAGACTCTAAAACTTTCAATTTTGTTCTTTTATATTGTTCACAAGGAACTGTCCTTGAATAAATGAAAAGTTTATTGTTGTTGTTATTATTATTATTATTATCTGGCTCACTGTGGAGGCCTTCTTTAGGATAACATAGCTTGCTATGGTGAGAATAGTTTTAAAAAAAAGGAAATTGAATTTGAAAGCATAGAGTTCATAAAAAGTACAACATAAATTAAAAGTTTTATAAATTTATTGTATTCACTTCTCATATCACTAAATTTAAAAAATCATGACAGCCCCAGTTTCACTGACCCTATAAACTAATCATCTATTTTTAGTATCTTAAACTGTATTTTTCTATGGCCTTGTAAGCCCTCAAATTCTTTTATATCGCCCTTAATTTTCATGTACTCACAGTCTTTCATTGTTACACTTTCTTTTTCTATATAAGGTTCTTTGCTGAGCGTTTATATATTCTTTGTAGTTGTGGGTTGTATGTTGACTATAATGTTAGCATACATTTTGGCCAACTCATGGGCACTATATAATTATAGTAGATTTTTTTTTTTATAGATAAAATGTTTTAATCATTTGCTAAATTTATGTTATTTTATTTTAGGTGAGTTATGAGAAAGAGGCGATTCAGAAAGTGCCCGCTCTTCCGTTCCATAACACTATTGTGTCGCTTGGGACACGTGGTCCATTCTTGTACTGGCCGTTGTCTATCGCCCCAAACTCACCGGTCTGGTCATTTCTTCCCACCTTCAACTTCTTCATCACTTTCTTCTCGGTCCCACGATTTGGGAACTTCCTTACTACTTGAGAAACTGCTATTATTCTCAGTCAGGCTTCTCAACAGAAAAGATGATAAGTTTGTGACATCCGAGAGTGTTAAGTATGTATAAGTTTATATGCCTCAGTTCAGAGAGGAAAGTCTCAGGCAGACATGGGGAAGGGAAAATTTGAGGTGAGTCGTTTTTGGGGTGAGGACACATCTATTATTTTAATTATGCTTTGTATATAGTAGGGCATTGGTAAACATATTTGGAAATATAATTCTATTATAAATCTTAATAAAGTTCATTTTAAATTCATAGCTTCTCATATTTTCTTTTTTTTATATATATATATATTTTTGTCAAACTTTTGCTTATTATATTTTGGACTAAAATAACAAACATTTTTATCACTTTCAAATGTTATGTCTTACATAAATAGGCCATTCTTATTAAGATGCAATTTCCAATATTTCTATTTCAGCTCATCTTACTCTAAGAAACTTGTAAGTTAACTTATATTAGTGGGTTGGTTTTTTATTTTATTTTGTTCATATAAATTAGTGAACTTAATAACTTAGTTAATTTTACATTTATACAAAGTTGAGTAATATTTCAGAATATTGGAAATGGACTTAAAAAACAGCCTCTTTGTTTTCAACATAATATATTTTGGGCTTTTATTTATATATTTGTTATAGATATATTTTAATGTTTTGTTAATATAATAACAATTTTATTAAAACAGTACTGTTTATCAACTCTAGCCTCATAACATTAAATGAGCCCCTACATATTTGTCATATTTTCATTTGTTACAGATGTTAGCAACTTTAACTATGATTATTGTTTATTTAATTTAAATTTACTTAAATGTAGGATGAAGTAGGGCAAGTATAGCCATCAGGTTAATAATGTAGCCACTCTTTACCACATTTTGAATAAGCGTTATTTATACTTCAGACCCACCAAATATCTTAATTTATGTCTTTCTTTGTTATATTTAATTATAAATAACTAACTTTGACATAAAATGGTCATGATTTTGAATATTGAAAATGGTATTAAATATTTACTCTGTGATAGAGGGACATGGATATGTTCAGAATTTGGGTGTCTGTGTAATTTTTTTTTCAAACTAATTTTTACATGAAGACATCAATTATATGATTTATTTTACTCTATTAGTACATTTTTTAATATGGTTGCACTTATCTAAATTTTATTTTCAAAATGAAAATATATATATTTTTTTTAGCCAATTAGTCCAAATGTATGCCCAAGATATTTCAGAGTTGCACCTACACTAAGCCAAGTGGAGACTTAGAGGTATAAGTTGGACTATACCATTATGTGGTTACACTTACCCTTCTTCATCTTATGTTAAAATGTGGTTATTATTTTTTACACTATTGACAAAACACGAATAGGCACTTTTTTCTCAGCGAAACACCAAAATATCTTGAATTGCTGTTCAGAATCTTTATCAATTAATGTGTTACATATTTGACTGGTCCTAGGTCCAGATCTGGTATTCTGGATTGTTGCTATTGTTTATATTGTATTTCTAATTAAAAGTTAAAATTATCATATTATTTATTTGAAGTTAAAATAATAAGTTGTGTGTATGTGTTGAGAAGATTATGAAAAGATGTTGAGGTTATTGGGAACTGAAGAACCATAACATCCAACATCTTTCCATTGAAACCATATTGGTGATTATTTGCTCTTGTTTCTACTAAAAAAAATCTTTTAATTTTTTTTTTCATGTCTGCATTTTGATTTCAAAATATTTATACAAAAAAATGTATATTTTTTGTTAGTAAGTTTTAAGTTTAAAACTTTTGATATAATGTCTTTGTCAAACTTGCTTATTGTTTATGATACGGGAATTTTAAGGTGCTTCTAATTAGTAAAATATCATTATTTCATTTAATTATATTATCATTATTTCACTTAATTATTTATTCACTCAATTATGTGGGAATTTTAGGTAGTTTCTAATAAGTGAATTATCATTTTTTGTCTGGTATTATTAAATAATTGATGTATCTGCTCTTATTTTTATGGAATTCGATAAAAAATTATGCATTGGTCTCAAGAAGAAGGGAGGGGAAAAGAAAAAATTCTCTGTGAACTATCTCTTTGACTAATTAAACAAACCTAAATTTAGCTTTATTGTTCAGCCAAGATTAGTGATACATTTTAAGTGTCATTCGTTAATTGAGCATGACTATTTGCTGTAGTTTGAAAAGGTAAATTTATTTTTTTCAATTATACTTAATGCTTTTGATTCCCCAAATCATTTTAATATTTCAATAAAGAATGAACCTTAATATTTCAATAAAGAATGGACCTGAAGATATTGTAATATATAATTTTAATTAACGGCATTAATGATCAACAGTTTTTATTGCCTTCACTACTTAACAACCAACTAAGAATGAATCTTAAAATGATATTTAGCTTCATATCGCATAAACTGCATTGCCTTTCTAATTTTTGTATGTGTTATCAAAATAATCAGTTAAATTAATTACGATTTTTTTTAATGCCAGTCTATACTAAAAATATACTGAGTAGCGATAATATCATTCTGTTTGATGTCTGAAGTAGTGAAATTAAAAGAAATATTTTTCATCATTAAATGAATGGTCCTTCAACTAATAGTCCTTGAGAAAGTATACGTATATGTCTCATTTTCTTATTTTGTATTTTGATTTTTACTTTTACTTACCCATATTTCTTTATCTTTGTCTTTTACCCCATACCTGCTCATTTCTTGCATAGGGGAGGTGGGAAGGGGTTATTCTACAAGTATTATCAACCTGTTCTAACCAAAGTGGGAAGGTCGAAATTCATTCCGCGGATCTGCTATAAAATAAATTTCAACCCATCCTGGTTGAACTTGAATCAGTGCCGTCAGGCTCAAAATTGCCAAGGTTGTGACACCTTCATAGTCTCGGCCATCATGGTTTCACTTACCTATATATGAATACAGTAAAGGAAAGTATTGTGATCATAAACAATTTGAGTTTAAAACAGAAATACATTTTAAAGTTCTCTGAGTCAAAATAGCCTAGCCTTGCAAAATGGTCTGTTTTTATGTATATGAACAGCACAGATTAAAAATAAAAAGTTATAATGAAGAGGAGAGTGGGGTAGCTCAGTGGTAGGGCACTGAGCTTCCAATGCAAAGGTCCCAGGTACAAACCCCGGCTCATGGCAGAAAATTTATTTATCTTTTTCAATGGCCGTGGGACGACTCTGGGTTGAGAGACCCTCCTGGGGCACACCCAGCCTCTATAAAGTGGGGAAAACCTGGCAGTTGAGCGTGATCTCGGTCAAATCACCTCCTTGCACAACCGTTGACCTAGAAACAGTGCTTTCCCTAATTAGTACTGAACCACAGACCCTTCATGGGTTGTAGTGGTACAGGTTTTTTTTTTTTTTTATAATGAAGAGAGAAGGATAGTTGGGGTGATCAGTCAAAATAAAAACATATAATAATAATATTTATTTTAACACTTGCCGACGTTTCGACTCAAAGTTGAGGCCTTTATCAGAGCTGATCGAAGAGATAGCGATCTCTTCAATCAGCCCTGATGAAGGCCTCAACTTCAGACCGAAATGTCAAAATAGATATTATTATTTAGTTTTGCCATTTTTATTTTGACTTATCACCCCAACTATCCTCTTCATTATTCACTACAGTCAACCATCAAACCACAATTATAAAAAGTTATACTTAACTGAAATTAGGTTTTTAAGGTAGATATTGGCAGGTACATCAGATATTACAATATCTTTTTCATTAAAATTGGCCTACTGGAAGCCACTTTGTCTAATCAATTTTACTCTCTTTTACTATGTTAGGAGCAATAAAATTAAATTCCAGATTATGAGGTAGAACACAAAAATGTTGATGTCATGCAATATATAAGGATAAGGATATAGAAAGATATATAAGAAAGTAGTAGTTATATTCAAATCTTCTAATATTTTATCAAAATCAATACATACATATGTCATAGACAAACAAACTAATGACTAATAATTTCTACTTTTATATTATTTATTAGAAACTAAATGGAATTTTCATAGTAAATATTTGGGATGCAGTGGTATGGTACGAAAATACACAAAGAAACTAACACTTTATTGCTCGGAACCATACATTGGTAAGATAATCAGAGATCAATTGGGAAACTATAAAGGTGGGGGACAACCAAAATGGTGGGATGGGCCAATGGTTATGTGATAACAATGCTGCAATAATTTATATTCCCAACATAACTAAATGGTAAAATTTTTTCCAAGCTTGACAAACTAAAAAATATGATACCGCGGATTGTATCACAGCATTATTTTTAAAAAACGTTCGTACTTGTGTGAGAGAAAACATAATGAATAGCATGTTGGTATAAATATTTGAAGTAGTATTTAGGAGTGGGAAAAATGTATGACCACAACTTTTAATAAACACTTTTAGATTCTAACCAAATAAAAATTAAGTTTACCCAATAATTGGTTTAATATTGACTAGCCCTATTTTAGCATCAATTAATTTCTACTCAAAATACGGTAGCAACTAATCTGATGGTGTTTGATGCATGTACGAGATTTTCAGCTTCCTTTTTATTATTAATTAAAATGGACAATATATTGCTTAATTTATACCTCTGATGTTTTTGACTATCTTAAAAAAAAATCTAATTAAGAAAAAGAAAAGTTTCGAGTTTCATTTGTTGTATCGAATAAAAATAATGCAGTCTAAACAGTTTTCTTTTTAAAATTATTTTTCTTTAACAAAAGGTTAAGAAAAAAAAATTAATGCTTCATATCCTCATTAATTGGCTCTGAAAGGAAATAAATTGACTACTGAGAGCTATCTTGTAATAATTGGGCAGATAAGTTAAATCTTAATTAAGATTTCATTGAATAATTGTTTTAGAATTTTGTTTGTATGCTTTGTACATATAAATGTTAAGCCAATCTGGAAATAAAGAATCTATTATTTAATAAAGTTTTTAATGATTTATCATATTTTTTTTTTCCAATCTCAACAAAATTAAATTTCTGGGATTCTTTCTTATTATATTAAAAAGTTTTTAGTGACCATGTAATATTTCATTTTTCAATTTCAACGAATTGAAATGATGGGATAAAAACTTGACAATTCTTTTTTTCTGCTTACACTATATTGAAAAAAAAAAATGCAATCCAAACTACAGAATACATATAAATTAGTTATATAATTTGTAACTGAATTATATAAATGAACAGTTGTTTAATTTGTAAAGTGGGGGTCGATCCGCTGTCAGGCAGACAGTAGGTATCCTCCTAGCATACACAAAATAATATATTATAAATATAACTCATTACGTTACAAAACACACATTTATTTACATAAAATTGTTGCATAACGATGATTAGAAAACTCTTAAAATTGACGAAGTTGTCGTTCTTCTTCAAAATCAAAGTGTTTATTGTTTGAGGAACATTAAAGTTTTTTAGAATTTTGGTTTAGTTTAGTTGGTCAAAGCTTCGATGATTTTTTTTTTTTTTTTAATAGAAATTCATGAGTTTCTTCTCTAGGAAAAATCATTTTATATGGTGCCTTTTCAGAAGGATGACTTGGAATAGACTGATTAGTTAATGAAATAAAAGCAGGGAAAAGGGAAAAAAAAGTTAACACATTAGAAATAGTGAGCAAATCAAAATGTAAAATTTGTCTATTGTTTATGTTTCTTTTCTTGATAATTAATTGGTTCTTATAATGTGTTTAAAGATGAAAAACCATAAGAAATTGTCTTTGTCCTCTAATGATCGTTTTAATGTACTAATGTTATTCTCATCCCTCTCTCCAACAATTATTTTTCTCCTTTTTAGAACTATACAGACATTAAATCAGATAGAATTTCACTAAGATAAGTTGTAAGAATTAAAATGTGGAATAAATGATATTTTAGAATAGATAAATTCAATTCATCATTTTTCTAATAACTTTTTCATTTACCTAATTGGCAGGTGTTAAGGGAAGGGAGAGTGGGACTTGTTTATTGTACTGTGATATAGATTATTTAGTAACATTAATTTAATTTAGCTTGTTTAACAAATTTTGGTACCTATCATATTGTTGTGTTTAAAATATTTTATTTGGTTTTCTTATTTAATTTTAATGTTAATGTTTAATAATGAAATCTCACTTATTTGGTCGTTAACACTGCACAGAGACATTATCTTCCTTTAAAAAATAAAAATAAATTAAGTCTTATGAATCTATTTTATTATTCTCTATCTTATGAGCAGTAAAGTATGTTAAGGAAGAATGTGTGTGAATGATTATCTATTTCTTGTTCTAATATTTGTGTATTTTTTTTAAATGGAGATCAAAGTTGTCCAATCATCTTTGCTATTTTAATCTTTAAATTATTTTTCTGGTGATTGAAATCTGCTAATAAGTGAGGTTTTATTAATTTTTCTTTTAATTAATTTAAATTACATATTTATTTCTACCATTGCACTTGAGAATTATCATTACAAATTTTTAAAGACTAATTTCTTAAATAAATCGGTTGATTTCTTACAATCAATAATTTTTCTTTTTTTTTTTTTTGTTCATTAACTAATATTAATTTCAGGGAAATATATCGATTTTTAATTTCTTGGTTCTTCTAATTAGCACAATCTGATTATGAAAATTTTTATCATCTACTACAGACAGAGGCAGAAGTGGTCAAAAGAGAGGAATGGATGATCGAACTACCAGATTCCAAGAGAACTCAACTTGGTCTTGGCTCAAGGAAGTTTAGGACAAATGCAGCTCCAGACATGTCTAATAGGTCTTCTTGGACTGACACACCAAAAGACAAAGCAAGGAAACAACTGGTAATTCTATTATTTATGTATCATTAGATATCATAAAGTCTAATCTATACTTAGTATGTATGTAGTTATATATATATATATGTATTATGTAGTACTCTTAGGTTAGTTAAGGAGGTTTGATTTGTTTCTTCTGACAATCAAATTAGTAGTAGCTCTATCTATCGATGTTCCTTTATGGATCTCTTTGTAAGTAAAGAGAGTACTCCAAATCGCTGTTTACAATCTCATTGATTTAGAAAAAAAATTTCCTCTTCTCACTTTTCTATTTTCTTATATTGATTCACTATATGGCCCAATGAGAGGGAAGTGGGGCCCAAGCCTAGCCTCTAAATTTTTTAACTTCTAAATTCACAAAAAAAAAAAATTAAGTAAAAATGACACAATATACATTGTATAATTATTTTGTAATATCTTTACATAAATTTTTTTTGTATACCTTTTAAAAGCATTCGGGTTGGGATTTAGTGATAAATTTAAAATTTGATGGCGGCTTAAGAAAATTATTCCTGGAGTTCTTGAGTTTCTCTCCATGACCCTACTCACCAAAAGTGCGAAACTTATGCATAAACAAAGATGGATGTATTTGTCTTTGTAAATAAGAATATGATACATTGTATGAAAAAAAAAATGATTGTTTCATCAAATTCAAGATTTCAAAGGACTAAATAGTTTAATTCTATTTAATGCATACCAATACTTAATAATGCCTTAAGCTATTTTAGCTCTTAAATAGCTAAGCTTATTTAATCCCATTCGACTTCTTCAATAAAAAGCCTCAGTTTAGTTATTTGTTTCAAAGAAGAGTGAAAGAGTGAAGGCAATGTTTCAACTGCCTCCCGCAGTGCTACATCCTACGCCCTGCAAAGTGGGTCGAAACGTCGGCAAAAATTAAATAATGCTATGTATAATTTAGTATTTATTTGACTGCACCTCTCCCCCCCCCCCCCTATCAACTCTGTATAATAAAATGAAATGTTTTTTTAATTTTTTTTTATAAATAATAGCAAAGTAGATATGTAAACATTTTAGTGAATACTGAAGGTTGACTATTGTATAATACTGAGGAAGAAAATGGTCTGGGAAGGTGGTCTTAAAAAAACTTATAATAGTGAAAACTACTTTATTTTAAGCCTGGCTTAACACAAGGAAGATCGCACCGGATCCGAGAGATAGAGATCCGCTGAGCGTTCTTTTTGATTTGGTTATATACCTGTTGGGAGTAGTGGACGTGGCCACTTCCTCCAGTTCTTCTCCTGGCTCTTGGAGTCATATAGTCTATTGTTGGGGTTACCTGTGTTACATTAAATTTTTATAGTAAAACTTAGGTTGGATCTGTGAGATTTCTAGCGACCTAATATGTAAGTATTTTCTATTTGGCTTATTTATTTTTTTTTCCTTTTAATATTATATATGGGAGAGCGGGGTAGCTCAGTGGGTGAGCACTGACTTCCAGAGCTCAATGTCCTAGGTTCGAATCCAGCTAATGACTAGTAATTTTTCATTAGCTGTGGATCGACCCTGGGGTCGGGAGACCCTCCTGGGGCACATCCAGCCTCTACAAAGTGTTTAATTTTAAAAAAAAATTAAGGGGGAAAACCTGGCGGTTGAGCGTGATATCGGTCCCATCACCTCCCTGCACAACCGTTGGCCTTGAAACAATACTTCCTCACATAGTACTGCAACCAAGACCCTTCATGGGTTGTAGTGGTACAGGTTTTAATATTATGTATTGTTTTTGTACAATCGTTCTTAGGCCGTGGTTACATTTGATCTGTCATGACACGATACGACGGTGCAACTGTTCAGCTCAAAAACATAATCCAATCATTCGCTTTCATTCATATTTTAATGTTTATCATCCATTTAATTGTATTATATGCATCCAATATACATAAAAAAAATAGTTAATTGCTTTAAGATTGTTTTATAATTATTAAGTATTAATTACGATATTATTTATTTGATACATAATCCAAAAGTAGTTCAGAATACAGTAGAAAATTTCAATCTTAGCTATTTTCATTGTTAGCAACTAATAATTATTATTGTCAATTAAATATAGAATACACTTTCTTAATTTATGAAAATAAGTTGTGACTTTTAATGGTCAATAGTACGCAAAATATGAAAATTAAAAATATAAAACATTGTTAATTTTATTTATTATATATTTATATTTAAAAAATAAAGATAAAATATATTTTTTAATCTAGCTTATTATGATGAGCTGATGACTGTAAAAATCTCATTTTAACAAAAACTATCTTATTTTAAATAAAATTTATATTGTATGTTTTAATCCATAATAATTATATGTTGTTTAATAATACCAAAATATTACGAGATTTGTTAAAAAGGTTAATTCACATTGTGTTTCTTCAGTCCCTATCAATCATAAATAAAATTTTTCAAAACTTCTGTAAAATATTCGATTTTGTTTATTCATTAATTACATTTTCCTAAAATTTAAAATATTAATACTATTTTAATTAAATATATTAAATAATTGTAGAGAGATTAATTAAATCCACACCTTTTGTTAACCAAAGACTTTTTTCCGTTTAATTTAACATCTATGGTTTCAATACCTTAACTTATTGTTTATTTATTTCAGCAATTATAATCATAAGTAATTCATACATAACATTGTAAATATCTCATTAAATTATTGATTTTAATCCATGACTATTGCATCATGGTTTGAATAAAAAAAGAAAAAGGTTACCAAATGAATGTAAGATATTAATTTACTAATTTATTTTTCATGTTTTCAGTGCTTGTCAATCAATAATGGAAGTATCCAAATCATTCTGTAAAAATATCTATTTTTACCTGGTCATTAATTGCATTTTTATGAAATTTATATTAAAATTATTTTAATGAAATATATTAAACAAACACATTGACATAAGGGATGTGGCTACATTTGATAGGCAAACCTGCCCAACTCAACGCCCTACAACAGTCATGGGAGTTTCAAACCGGTTTATTTTCAAAACGACAGTCCATAAATATCAGTATTAATTCTACGAAGAAGAAAAAAATTAACACAAAACAAATACAGAAAATTAAATACAAGTTATTTGAAATATTAAATAACAAACTTAATCCTCAGAAACTAATTAATAAATGATAATGCAATAAAAGTATCAGAAAATAGAAATAAATATTGCAAATCAAAATATATATTATATCAAATAAAACTGAAAATATTAAAAAAAATTGAACATAAATAAAAATATAATCTTGAACTTTATAACAATATTAATAAACCTAAAGATATAACTAACAAAAAAGAAAGAATTAAAAAATTATATAAAAACAAATGTTATTTGATAAACAATGTTTTATCCGATTTTTTATTTAAGTATGATCATTATCTAATTTTTTCATATTTAATCAATAACAAAAATTCGAAATCCCACAAATACTCCAACCAACAAATTTTACATATAAAACTCCTTTTTACTAATTAAGAAACTAATTATTTATTATTTTACGTTTCAGTCTAGTTAGCCATTTTTGGAATTTTTAATAAAAATAAAAAAAATAGAAAATCTATCTTTTAAGTATCCTTGATATAGCTTATTTCATATCTAATATTACACTGAACCTTTGCATGTTATTAATTTGTGGATATTAGCAGATAACAATTTCTAACAATCCATATATTTATAATTAATTAGCTCATGGATATTGCAATGTTATCTTTTATTCATTAACATATTTAAATATTCTTATTTTACTTTGTAATTGTTTTTTTCATAATTTCCATTACTACCTCTACTCCCTCCACCCATCAACAATGTCAGCTAATTACCCCAATGTTTATTCTAATGACTTGAAAGTTTCGCACTGAATTCCAGTCCGATAACGAGTAAATCATTCTGAATACACCCCTTTAATATCTATTATTTATTTATAATTATGTTTTTCTCCCTTCCACCCTTTTATTAATTTAGACCTCCATAGGTTTTAATTAATACTTTTTCCTTTTAATCTTTCCTTAAGATTTTTCCGATGATATTCTTGATTATGTATATTATCCATCCTCTTTTATTACATTAAATTTTTCTTATCTAAAATTAATTGTTAGAATTTATCTTCTTTATTTTAGTCTGGTTATTTAATTTTTTACTTAAAAGCTCTTAATACTTTTATTTAATTTCTATTTACACTATATATAATTTTCATCTAAATATCAGTAAACCTTCTCAATTTTCTATATCCTTTTGTATCTTGTTCATTCTAGTCCCAATGAATGAATGAATGAAAAAATAATTTTATGCTGGGACTATAGTCTCCTAAAAATAATAACAGAGTTACATAATTAAGAAACTTAATACCTGCATTAATTAAGAATGAAGACCTACATAGTTGGGTCGAAATGTTGGCTAAAATAAAATAGTTTTTCACTATTCATATATTGTTCTACGGTTAACCATTGAGTATTCAACATTACAAATTTTCAAACAGTGGTGAGAGGATATTTAATATTTATAATGCAATAATAAACAATAGTTCCTAACAATAAAGGATAATTATTACAAATAACTTTTTTATGTTGGATTGAGTTAATTATTGATTATCTATTGAATAAATAAAATTTAATTATTATTGATTAATTTGAAAACATTAAAAAATAGTTTTAATGAAATTATACTATTATTTTCTATTTACATCTTTGGATAACGCTAAACATTTAAAAATGAATAAATTGGAATTAGGAAGTAATCGTTGGAACGATATAAAAATACACTATGATTATTAAACTGCCTCTACATTGGAAATATATTTCAGATTAAATAATTTTTCACGATTCTTTGTACGGTGTAGTTAAAAAAAAAATCTAGATAGGAGGTGTCTATATTCCACATGGAAGTCCAAAATGACGAAGAACGATTATGTATGAACAACGAAAGTCGGTAGACTTATCATATCTGTTAGTTTCCAGTAAGACTTCAGCTTATAATAATAAAATATTTAACTAATATTAAAATTATGATTAGAAAAAAATATAAAAAAGATGCATAATTGGTAATTGGTTGACTGTCATGGATAATGAAGAGAAGAATAGTTGGGGTGGTCAGTCAAAAAGGAAGGCAAAAAATAAGTGATAATATTTATTTTTTACATATGCCGACGTTTCGACCTGAAGTTCAGGCCTTCATCAGGGCTGTCTCCTTAAGTGTTGCAGGGAGAATGAGATTTTTTATAATTTTTATGTTTAATACATTCTCCCTGCAACACTTAAGGAGACAGCCCTGATGAAAGCCTGAACTTCAGGTCGAAACGTCGGCATATGTAAAAAATAAATATTATCATTTATTTTTTGCCTTCCTTTTTGACTGACCACCCCAACTATTCTTCTCTTCATTATAAAAAAGATGTTATATGTAACATAAAATGTAACCATTGCTTGCAAAAATATTAAATATTGAAGAATAGAACAGAATTTAATCAAATAGCCTGAAATAACTTATAAGTAATCCTAAAATTATGCACAGCCCTCACTAAAAGAAGTGTTAAAAACAACCATAAACCTGGCTTTTTATAATACAAATATTAAATAGTATAGCCAATAATAGAACTAGAAAGTGATTGGAATTAGCATACGATACCAGGTATATAAGGCCCTTAATTTTAAATAGTTAAAATTATTGTAATAAGCATAATCCCAATAATATATAAAATATAAGTTTTAATTTTTCTTTAAAATATAAAAAAACAAAGATGAAATTAAAAAAAAGTATATTTTTAATATTCAATTCTATTTACTTACTATTTATCCTATTAAAAGTCGCTATATATTTTCATTTTCATTTATGAAATTTATTTTTATTGTACTGTCAATTTTATACTGAATTTTAATTAGTTTTGGATTATCTATCGAAAAAATAATATTTATTAATTGGAAAAAATGAAAAAAACATTTTGATAAAATTAAACTATTATTTAGTATGTATGTATATTGGACAAGGTTAAACATGAAATGATGAATGAATAGAAATCCGGGACGTCACGTTGCCATGTTAGTTGTATGTTTTTCGAAAGTACAGTGCAGAGCACCTTTTTCATTATGTTGTACAATTTGCATGTCTAATGTAACCAAGACCTTACCGTCACTTTATTTGTTTATAAAATATAGACATTGAATCTCTCAGATTTATTTTTTTCTCATTTTTTTGTCTCACTTTCTCCTAATTTTCCATTCCAAATTAACTTCTTTGACTGCTTGATTTCTCCATTATGTATTTTACAGACGAAATGGTGTCAAGAAAAAGATTCGAATTAATTAACGCTGAGGATGGTTCCCTAATGTTGTTATAAATCATCTTGATTTTTGTATTAATTATTTCTTAATCTAATTTAATTATTATATAATTGTACCCAGTGTTCAGTGATTTTTGTGTGTTGTATTTAATGTTCAAGTTCCTAATTTTTTCAATGTATTTTTCGTATTGAATTTTAATATGTTTTTTAAAATAATGTAACTGTGTTTTTTATTCAATAAATATATTTTAAAACTCATCGTATATCTTTTACTTTCAGTACAATAAAAAATTTGTTGTTATTTTTTATCCATAAATTGATTTAGTGAAAAGGATCTAACAGACCCGTAGTGACCTTCCATATGACTCTAAGGCTAGTGACCTTCGGAGTGTTAAAATAAAGTAGTTTTCACTATTTAAAGTTGTTTTTTTTTAGGACCATCTTCTTCCTCAGTAAATATTTTGGTATATTTTTTTCATTTTTCATTATAAGTATGTATTTTGTATTGTACATATATGGGATTTTAATAAAACCAGATAATTCTGTTAATCTGAGTTTTTCATTTTTTAACAATCAATAATTTGTAACAAACCTTTGGTCCCTTGGCGTTACAAATTATCAGGATTATTTTAAACTAAGAGTTATAGCGAATTTTATGATTTACTCTAAAATTAATTATGTTCACATAGTGTTCGGTTTTATTTTTTAAAAATTTTATGTATAGTTTTTATTTTTTCTATGTATAATTTAGATGGGTGAAGAAGAAGAACTTGATACAAAGATGCTAGAGATAGCTGAGAGAAACAAAGAAATGGAGTTGCTTTCTAAGAAATCTGAAAAGAAAGATAAGTCACTTCTCGAAATGCATCAAAAAGAAATTAAAAGGAAGAAAAAGGTAATGTTTTGCTACTTAAATTTTTTCGTACCAACAACTTAATGTTTGCTCCTCCTTTTTTTTTTTTTTTTTATTCAATAATTATATCCCTAGTTTTATCTCACCATTCTTTTTTCAAGTGAACTAATTAAGTTAGAAATCAATTTTATTATTATTTAAATACAATAAGCAATACTAAATCCCTTTTTAAGAGATTTAGGGTATTTAAGATGGCTTTGTTGTCAAAATTTGATCTTATGTTATACTTTTTCCTTTTTATATTTTCATTATTTGCTTATTTGAATCTCCTACTAGCCTATATTTTAAAGCTATTTAAAATAGATAGTTTATAATGGCAAATGTCTGATCCAGAATTTCAATTGAGTTGTTCTTGCGCTATGCTAGATTTTGATGTATTTTACTTATTACAACAGATGTCAACATCTAACCTGTTGCATGTTCAAACTCACAAAAATCGAAATTCCGTTGGATCTTTGCTGCATAACTATGTTCATTTAATCCATTCAGAATAAATCTTATGATTAAGGCTATTTATGAATATTGTTTGCCTTTTTTGTGTATTATAATTTAGTTTAATCTTCTTTATAGCATGTAATATTCAAAAATATATTTTAAATTTCAGAAAGAAGAAAAAGAAAGAGGTGATAGTAAACCAGAACGTCGTCCTTTTAGCCGAGAAGTGGATCTACAAACAAATAGATTCGATGAAGCACAGAAAAGATCAATAATTAAAAAAGCACAACTTCTCGATTCCAGATTCTCTTCTGGGGAAAGCAAATTCTTATGACTTTTTGTTTATGCCTCAATTTTGTAATATTGCTAATATCTTAGCAATTAGAGACTAATAAAAAAAACCTGTGATAAAAGAAGTAAGCCACAAATGAATATTGTTCCAGTTATTTAAGCAGGATTATTTTTAAACACATTTTTAACAGCTATTTACATTGACAGTTTTTTTCTTACTAAAAGTATCATAACTTTGTATAAAAAAAAAATAATGAAATAGTAAGGTATTAAGTTAAAAATATATATATATTTGTTCAGAGGAAATATATTATTTTAATCAACATTCAACATACATATTTAACATTAATACAATTAATAATATGCACAAATTTCGAAGTTACAACAAAAATAGAATGATAATTTTGAACTTGTTAATGAATAATATCCGTATGTTTTAATATACTTAATTTCTTTGTTATTTTATGTTAATAGATTTTACTTAAGATACACTCAAAAATAAAATATCTACAAAGATAGTGTATAAAAATAAAAAAAGTTTTAATTAAGAGGAACATGTAACAAATGTATAATCATATTTACATCTTGTATAAACATTTATCTGGCATTAGAAATTCACAACAAACATAATAAATACTTAAAATGAAGATTTCATGCATCTGTTAACTATACATAATCAATGAAGGACAATATGTTCTAGAACAAATATAGTAGCAAGTCGGATTGGAGCTGGCACAGGATGAAGCTTTGTAACCCCACTTATCCAGGAGTTTCATTAGATCGGAAGCACAGCACATGTTTTCATAGCCCTTACTACCCTTCACTTCCGGATTTCGAATACTGATCGCTTTAATTCTTACCCTTCCTACTGGAAGAGACTTTAGCACCTAAATTAAAGATATAAAATTGTTGGCATTTTACTAAATAATCAGTTATAAAATATTTCTGCCTATAATCCTTGTTACCTGAAGAGGTGCGGTAACTTCATTGAGTGATAAAAGATCTAAATGTGATGTATTATAAGCTCTCATAAGTGAATACAATGGAAAGCATGGTATAGCAGACAATGACTCATTTTCTGAAACATGCTTGAAAAATGCCTAGAAGAAAGTACATATTATTTTTCTATACAAGAGGGAAACAATTTTAACAAATAATGAAATGTTTGTAAATATGATATAGAACCTACAGACCTTTATAAGTAATAAGCTGTTAATATAGATAGAAATATTTGTATGAATAAAAATACTGCAATACATATTTGTGAATTGCATCATAATGTAAATACAAATTAATCTTAGCATTTATATCTTTTTTTTTAAGTTCATGTCTAGGATTAAGTTTTGTAGTTATGTGATCACATAACAGCCAGATTATCAATTATGGCTAAAGTTACAAACATTTTTAATAGCTGCTTGTTTAGAAAAATCAAATATATTTTAAGAAAATGATATATAAATTAAAATGGATATTGTTTATATATTATTTTTTTATAAATTATGAAATGAAAATAAGTATAATGGTGGAAATATTGTTGATAGTAGATGAAGTAGTAGTAATCAATTGATTTGCACCAGGATTCTTATGCATTTAGTCCTGATGGGCCAAAGCATCAGTAAACAATAAAATAAGGCTTCTTGTTTGTTTGTAATTTTATTTATGACTGCAAACCCATCTAACTATTACTAAATATTATATATCTTACGTTGAAATAGTGAGGCAAATATGAAAGGGAAAAATTGTAGACTGATTAAAAATTAAAAAATATTTATCTTTAATGAATTCGACTGAAATATCCTCTTCTCACTACTATACTTCAAAACCTTATTTTTAATAAACAATGCTCATTAATTTACAGAACATTGATAATTAAAATAGTCTGCTAATGAAAAAGCAATGTTATTCTTATTTTTACAGCATTGTCCTTTGTAAACTAAACATCAAATCAGTTTTGCAAAAATGTATTCTCTTTTTCATTAATTTAGATCATGAGACTTTTTGTAATGGTGAAAATATTATTGGCTATAGATTAAATAGTAACCTTTTTTGTTTGAATATGTGAACATGGCATTTAGCATGTTTAAGTGATGGTTAATTTGGACTTTATTTTGTGAATAATTGAATAGAAATATAACGGATATGTAAATGTAGTACTAAGTAATGGAAATGATTTAGTTGATTGGTTTTAGGCTAAATGTTTGTAATAAATTTGGAGTGTGAAATAGCACTAAAAAACTCAGGTGTTTTAGTAGTAAGGAATAGCAATGAACTGCAACTCCTATTGTTAATTAAATATAAATAATAAATTAATTGACTTAAAAAAAAATCTTGTAACCTCCTCTAAATTTAATATATTAAGAGAGCGGCTAAGCTTGAAATTCATTCTCTCTATCTATATATATATATATATATATATATATATATACATATACTGGCATTACCCAGCCAGGCATTGCTGTAGCTCAGTCTGGCTAAATGAAAAAGGAAGAAAATAGAAAGCACACGTGTTTCATACGTTTAATTGTGTAAATAAATAGTTATATATTTAATAAGTTGTTTAATTTTGTGGTTGATTTTTTAAAATCTTAAGCCTCTAAGAGTTCTTCACAGAATGCTTTGAAATTTTGGCCTAAATTTGAAATATACCTCCTATTATAAAACATTTTTTTTTTTTTCAAACAGCACCATCTGCTAGATGTAAATCAACATATGCTGTTCAAAATATTTTGTGATACCATCTCAATGTTTCAGATATTAAATATGGCATTGTATTGGAATTGAACTATTTAATTGATATTGATATGACTATATATTGAACTATGAAATATTGGAATACCCCTTACCACAATAGCATTCATTATGTGTACATTAGAGCTTTCTTTCACCTCCACCGAACGATTTGGCCCCTCCTAAGATATGTGATTGCCCACTTCTTAAAAACAACTTGCAACTTAATAGTCCATGGTACAGACCTGTTTTTATTGAATTATTAACATCCGTCTGAAACTTCGTAAATAGTTTATTCTCATCATAACCTACTACTATTTTATTTACGAAAACTGTTGGAATTGGGGCATTTTCAATCTGGAGGGAGACAAGCTTTGTCTATTTAATTAGGTACTAAAAACTCGTAAATACACATTTGCTTTCAACTTGGATTGTAAGATAATTTGATTACAAAATCGATAAATAAGGTGGCCTACAAAAATTTTGGGCCATTTGTTCTATGTAACCCTGTTATTTTAAAAATTTGGGGGCATTCGTCAAGCCAAACGGCCATCTTTTTTCTCGATTTAGTGATCAAATTATCTTACAAACCAAGTGAAAAGCAAATAGGTATTTACGAGTTTTTAGTACCTAATTAAATAGACAAAGTTTGCCCCCCTCCAGATTGAATACGCCCCAATTCCAAGAGTTTTCGTAAATAAAATAGTTGTAGGTTACGATGTGATGAAGCTATTTACGAAGTTTCAGCCGGATGTTAATAATTCGATATAGAGGGGTCTGTACCATGGACTAAAAATGTAGAATTATAAAAACTGTAGTAGAAAATAAACCTTACTCATGAAGTAAATAGAGGCATCCAACTTCTCTTACCTGTCTGCTGACACCTGGGACTCCACGCAGGGGTGCATAATTAATATTTAGTTTCAAGGCATTTGACCATTCAGAACCAGAAAGTACTTGCTTATTGTACATATATTTATTCGCTTTCGGGATCTCCATAAAATGGCGAACTCCAATGTCCTGTCTCCTGCAATTCGCCCATTCCTCATACAAATTTTCTCGTAGCGACTACCGTAGAGCTCTCATATTCTGAATACCCCGATCAATCCCCAATCTCTCGACACATTCAGCAACCTCAGTAGAATAATAAAAAATCGATTGGAAAAGGGCATCGGGCACATTGGACAGTCCCTGAGCAATGGACCAATGTTGTAGAGGGGCCTTCGATTGGCAGCAGATTAATCCTAATCCTCGGTATCCTTGTGGGATAGTGGATGATGAACTATGTAATCTCTGCAGAAGTGCACCTGAAACTGCCCTTCACTTCATAACGGAATTTGATCGATTTGCGTCACTCAGATACAGATTTCTGGGAGCAGACAGAATCCAAGTATGCAAAGCTGTCTCCATAAAATGGTCCAACTTTTTGAACTTAATTAGAAGAACAAAAAGGTTTGAGACAGAATAGAGGTACAATAGATAACCACTGGTAGTATCAAATTTTTGGGGTTGGCAAAAAGGACCAATAGGTCCACTTGCTGGACTAAGTCCTCCCACCAATACCAGTACCAGTAATCCTCGGTACCTCCAGGGAGCGTATATCATCGCCGTGGAGGTGTTCGCAGGGAGTTCAATAATAGCCTTTACACTCCTGCGAGGGGCACAGTATGGAGAAGGCAAGACCCAAGAACAGATACTGATGGACAATGTTTAGCTTCTGCTCAGACTTAAGCAAACAAGAGGTTACCAGTTTATCAAGGTTTTCGTTCAATTTGGTCGCCGAATCTTGTTTGAACTGTAGCTCTCCCGAGAATGTGCATCCTAAATACTTGATTGTAACTCCATTCTGCAATGTTTGGATGTACTCTCCATTCTCAAGAGAGAGCATCACTGTTTTTTGAGGATTTATAGCTGAACCAATTTCCTCAAACGTCCTCTAAACGCTGCCGATCACTCTTTCTACAGCCCCCTTGTCACGCGCCGGCTGATACAGCCTGATCATCCGCGAAACCTGTGAGGATCACACAACCTTGGTCACTTTTTAACTCACATCCAAATTTTTTGGAAAATTCTTCATCATATAGATAGAGATGGTGGATGGCCAGGTTGAAGAGCGACGACGGCAAGGGACCACCTTGGGGCACTCTGCTCAGCACTTTGATTTAGCTAAAAAGGTCTTAAAACTCAGCTAAAATCTACAGGATCTATTGCTTAAAATTAAGTTAAAATAAATAATGGTAAAAAAGTTAAAATCTATTTTAAAAAAATAAATATACATACACACGCCCATTGAATAAATAAATCAATTGGTAAAGCTGAATAAATATATATTTTTTTAAAAATAATAATTAATTAATTTTAATAATTATGGGTGATAAATATTCAGGACGCAGTTTTTTAAACACATTTTTAATTTTTTATTTGTGCCAACGTTTCAACCCAAACATGTGGGTCATCTTCAGGGCTGAAAATTTGAAAATACAATCAGAGATATAATATTATATGACCGATAATGGTAAATAATAAACTATAGTGGTTGATGGCACATAAATCTTAACTATTATTACAATATTAAAAATGTAAAAAGTTATACAAACTAAAAATAATGTATATATATTTATAAAAATTTGTAATATTTTCTCTTACTATCCATGGTTGAGCACTGAAGGCTTTCAAGTACTGACACATTTGGTAGGTAAGGGGAGGATTTCCCAGTTGTCCTTTTTCAGATGGCAAAAGGTAGTTAAACATAGTCAGAGGGGGAGGGAGGTAACATTTCTGTTGGTAAAATGTAAATAGTGGGCGGGGTGGCCGAATGGGCTAAAGCGTGTGCACTGCACCGCCGTTGCCTGACATCCTGACATATGAATCAAAGATATAAAAATAGTCACGAGTTCGCGTCCCGGTGCCAGGGGAGTCTTTTAAATCCCCGCCCACACTCCCTGGCCCGGGAAAATCCCATATAGCCTTAACGGCGAGAAAGGGAAGGACCCAAAAAAATAAAATAAAAAAAATGTAAATAATTTGCTGATTAAATATTTTAGATGTGTACAAGATTTGTGCTGTATCTTATTTAATAATTATGCTAACAAGTGAATAGCCAATATTCATTCGAAAGCAAAAACTATTTTTAAAGACGTATTACAGCAAATATGTATATATATCTTTTTTAAAGAAGAGAGGAGAGAAAAAAAAACAATTAATAAAATAAAGGAACAGATGAATTGACTAACAACAAAATAGGTTGGGCTCTTTCAATGACAGCTGTTTGTATTGATAAAGCGACACTGACCTTGCTGGAGGCGACTGCTGAGAATTGTTGGGGGCCGACAAGTATTAGGCTGCACAAAGGTAAGCACCCCGTTCCCACTAGCACACTGATTCCTTTGCCTTCTGGTCCTGGCGAAAATCTTTTCTCCAAATTCAAGAAGCAGACATATGGACCACTACTTACGTGACAAAAAATTTAATAGACAAAGGGAATTAGAAAATGGGTTATTTCGAGTTTATCAGTTCTCAAAATGGAAAATTCTATTCCGAGGGAATGGAAAAGTGGGATAAATAAACTTATTTTTTTTTTATAATTTGTTTTTTTGACTGGTCACTCATTATTATATACAGTCTAAGTATTATTATATACAGTCAACCATGAATCCACAATTAAAAAAACTCCAAACATTTTTATATTCTCAAGCCTAATTTATTTACAGACCTCTGGTTTGTGCCATTTCGTGTATATTATAGGGCCCTAAATGCAAGTTTATTTTCGAGTGGATAAGTAGTCATGCCAAAGATATCATAACTTTGGTGATTTTAGAAAAAAAATTGCAGGCCTTGGTGAAAATTTGAAGTAAAAAATATGTATTTTTCAATTACAATGAAAATAAGTGTTGGAAGGTTTATTGAGAGGAAAAATACAAATCTCAATTTTGTTTTTTCTTAAAAAAATATTTGAACCATAAATATTTGCTCCTACGGCTGGTACAAACTATTATATGTTGGAAATAATTCTTATCAATTACAATGATTTTTTACTTTCCTATATATAATAGCTAAGGAAAGTATGGCGATTGGGTCAAATTTCCGATGTATGGTTTTCGACAGATCTGTACATTTCAGAGAACCTTGAGTACGAAAAATACATTTTCAGCCATTGGTCTTTCTGTGCCAAGATTATCTCAGGAACTAGTAATATGATTTAGTTGTTTCTTTTTTTATTTTATAAGGCATTACTACTAATGCCTGTGACACAAATTGAGTGCTCCTGCGCAATAAGTCCGAAAACGCATTTTAGCATGGTTTTTTTTTTTTTTTTAAATGTGGTGAAGTTCCCTACAAAACTATATAAAAATTGTTCATTTCAGACAACTAGTAACGAAGATACAGCTATTCAATTTATTATAAGTTCAAATCCCGGTGACAGGAAGGAGAGAGAGAAAAAAGGAAAGTAAAAAAATCTAGAGCCCAGATCACATAAGTTTGATTTTCCTTTACTTTTAACAGAAATTACTGTCTGACAAAAAGTTTTTGATTAGAAATATTAGAGTGTATTGAATTTTTTACACTGATCTTCCACAACTGGTTTACATTGCTTTAGTTTGTCGAATTAATCGTACTCGAATCATTTCTTTGATCAATTTCCAGGAAAATAAATCTAATTCATTTTTTTTTTTTTTTTTTTTTTTTTGTTTCTTAATGGACATAATATTTAAAGATATAAAAACTTTTTTGAAATAGGTAGGATAGTTGTGTGAGTGAATCCCCCCACCCCCCAATTTGTTTTTTTTTTTAATCTGTAGGGAATTCAGGAAGCTTTAAAATAATTATGGGCATAATCTAGCGAAAGTTGTGTACTTTTTGAGTTATTCCAGAATATATTTCTGAATCTATCATAACTTTTTTTTCATCCTCTTTTCGGAGAATCATGTTATATACATCAATTAAAAGGGCTTCAAGGAGAAGACTTTAGACAAGTTTCATTAAAATTATAACAGCTGTTTAGGCTCTACAGTCTATAACGGCCATAGAGTATGAATGAAGTAGATTGGGGGGCATGGAGGAAAGAAGTAAATGCCCAGTTACTACCACTGCAAGGGTACTAATACTCCCGCTCTTGGGGTTTTTCTTCCTATAAAACACAATTTAACATTCAAATCATCTGATTATTTTAATATTTATTTATTTTTTATTTTTTTATCAAATATTGTTTCTTCATGGTTTCATTATATTTTAAGAAATGAGTAGGAGTGTAGCATTTAGTTTTACAATAAAAAGATGAAGAATTTATTAATGATCAAATGTTACATATTTTTAAACCTTTCCTTAAAAGTGTCGTTTATACCCACTCAGAAAAATATTTTAAAATCCAGTACTTAATCCATTCTTCACTAAGGTTTTTTTATACCTTATCCACTCTTAACACATTTATACCATTTTCAAGAAAATTGTATAAATATGTTAAGTCCATTATATAAAGTGCCACTTTGGATTAGCCGATTTTGATGAAAAAGTTGCTGTAACATTCCAAGCATATAAAAGCCTTGATCTAACCATTGATATAAAGTAGCACGATTTTGATGAAAAAGTTGCTACCACATAAAGAACTTTTCGTTTTAGAGCTAGAATGTTCACATAAACACAGAACATTTTGCGGGACTTGGTTATTTGGACTCAGAGGACCACAAAACGTGTATTTCTGTTGAAAACTGAGATTCGAAAATTTTGACAATCGCAATACTTACCTTCACTGTATATATTATATACAGGTAAGTAAAAGTAAAAATTGAAGTAAACATATTTTTTTATTGCAATGAAAATTCCTATTTGAGGGTTTATCAAGATGCATTACGAATCTCAACTTTGTTTCTCCTTAAAAAAAATATTTGAACCCACTGTTACTCCTATGGCCAGTATAAATAGTTAAATTTCGGAGATAATTCTTTTCGATGGTTTTTTTTTTAGCATTTTGCAGGGAATTCAGGAAGCTTTCAAATAATCATGGGTATAATCAATCAAAAATTGTGTACTTTTTTAGTAATTCAGAAATATAGTTCTGAATCCATCATAACTTTTTTACCACACTCTTATTGCGGAAGAATGCTATATATATAAATTAAAAGGACTTCAAAGAGAAGACTTTATCCAAGTTTAATTAAAATCGTTACAGCCTTTTAATCACTACAGTCTATATCGACACACGGTTTTCGGCCGCCTTTCCTAAACAAAAGGCTGGAGGATAATTAAATGTATAAAAAAACACTCCCAGATCCGATAGAAACGTTAAGTCAAAATTTCGAAGCAATCGGTGAAGAAGTTTAAGAGATTATCTGTTTTGTACAAATGAACAATTACATTTGTGTTTATCTAGAAAGAAGTGACACTGCCAACCACTCTCAGGATTATAGGCAATCAATAACTAAAAAAAAATTAAATTTTAGATATTCCAAAAAATTGTCTGTATCGTGTGCGAAACTTACATGTTTAGGATAAACAGTTGGACTGATACAAACTTGAGCCAAATGAGATTTACTTCTTTCAATTTTAAGCAGGTGAGCAAAGTTGTCAGGATGGGGTTGTGTTAACAGACCTCGCCAATTTTGCACTCTCTCTAACCATTCGGTATCACCTGAGCCATCAGAGCCACATTCCATAAAGACCCCATATTGCTAGAAAATAAAAAATATTATTCTCTCTCTTACACTATCATTTATAGAGGGTAGAAGAATATGTATAACCTTCCTCTGAAAAATTTTTAAAATCTGTACAGATGGTTTTCCTGTATAATTCTGTTGAAGTGGATAAGCAATTGGAGGAATAATGTATTCATTTTTAATAAGTTTGATTAATTCAACTGAATCTTGGGGTGATTCTTCAAAATCCCATATATTGCTTGCGTTGAATTCTATATAATGTCGCCCAACTAACATAACTACAATAAATATACAATGACACAATGTACTTACAATAATAAAACAAATATATATACCTTTTAAGTCCGTAGAAAGAATCAAAATGGTCATAACAACTGTAAACGTAGTAAAAAATGCACATAGCGGCATTGACCATTGTTTAGAAAATATAAAAGGTAAGTAATTTACTATATGGATCATTAGCAAGACCAACAAAGTGAAGCAATACGAACTATCCAGCAGCTTTACTAAAACTGAACATCTGACAATGAACAAAGTGCGCCTTTCACGAGTGGCTCACTCTTTTATCCACAAAAAACTTGACACAGGTAAATAAAGGGCAAGTTCCTCACTAAACTCAGCTACGAACTCATAGAATCCATCTTTAAACTGGGCACGACACCATCGATGAGCTGAGCGCTGAGTTTAGAAACTTACCCAAATATTTACAAATCGGTATCATTGGTGGTTATGGTTTAGTTAGGTTATTTAGAAGACCGTTGGGCGGGTTTTAATGGGTTTGCATTTTCTTTCCGACTCTTGATACACTCTAAATCTTGAGTTTTCTACCTAATAACTAAAACAATGAATATGAAGGATCACATCGATAGGAATATTGTAGTGGAGACCAATGATGGGGTTAAGCATGAAGGAAGTCTATATACTGTTGATCCTGTTTCTGAAAGGTAGAATTTGCGTATTTTAACCGAGATATTATTACTTTAATTAATTGTTTCCTTTAAGGATTTGGCTTACAATGCTTTAAGTATGAAATGAGATATTAATCAGTAGTTTTATTGTATAATCTTTTGCAGTATCTTGTTGGTCACCAAGAAGGAAAAGGGTTTTTCCATTGAATTGATTTTTAAACATGCTATTCATAATCTTATAAGTGTTGGAGAACTGAATCCAGTAAAACTTGGGGAAGAAGAGAAAAATGTTGAAAATCTATCTGTTATTAGAGAAAGGCTTAAAGATTGGCTTTCCAAGAATTTAGTACCATTTGAAGAATCTGGTGAATGCCTCAAACTTGCAGGACAATTAACTATTAACCCTCCTTATGGTATAGACAACTGTATTAGTTCTAATGAAATGGTTTTATGCAAAATTCAAAAATTAATAGAACGAATGCCTTATTTTGACTGATTATTACATTTAAAATAAAAATTCCCATGATTTTATGTGTATATATATCAATTTCGTTATTAATTCTGATCAGATGTATTTATATTAATAAACCAGCTTATATTATTTAATTATTGTGGTTATCCTCATTCAAAAGGTTGTAATTTTGATTTGTATCCTATTAGTAGTGTTACTGACATATCAAAAGTAACAGCAATATATCATTACCTACACACAAGTTTTTAGATACAGAAATTATCATTGCAACATAGTTAAACTAGGTAAATTTAAATAAAAAATAAAATACTTTTTTTGTTTTCATTTTTGGTCTCCTACTGTACTTCAGATCAACCATTTTATGGAAAAGTAATAGTGTTTTCAGGTGAAATCAAAATAGAAAATTTTCTGTGAGATAAATAGTTAATTAATTATTGAAATACACTTTTATTAATTAAAATATATGTTTATAGAAACTGACAATCAATACCTCATAATATGAAGGCAAGGAGGTTAAGATTGACAGAGCCTGTTGCTTGGAGCAATCCGCAACAATGAATGAAAAAAACTTGCTTTAAGTTCTTTATTTCTTCATTGTAACACTGTTATGGTGATCTTTATGAAATATTTTCCTCATCTTAATAATTTTTATTTTATGAACCTCGAATATTATACCTATATTTTAAAGATTTTAGTTGTCATACATTGTAAAATATTCAATATAAATTTTCTTGTAATTTTTATAGCCAGAAAGTGTTGACAACAGATTTATTTTCTTCTATTATGAATGAAATTTACTAATAGGCATAAATAAAATTTGAAAATAATCCTGATACTGGGTACTTTTTTATTGAGTTCCTGTCTTTTGGGATAAGGATTTGTAATATTAGTTAGCATTTATAATTATTTTTTTTAAATTTAACACCAATAGTCACATTGTTTTACTCCAATTATTTTCATGAAAACATAAATATTAGAATATAAAAATAGTTGGTGAACTAATATTATAAGGTCCATTTCCCATAGTTAAGATAGGTAAGCTATCTACACTAGTTTACTATCACTCTCGGTAACAATTCTTAATTTTTAGTCTTTGAAGAAACAGCTTTATTTCCAGAATAATTCAATAATGTAACAAAATGAGAATTAACAAGGCATAGGTCCTTTTGGTGACAAAAGCTGAGGAGTGATGGAGAGCAAATTTTTTTTTTTTTTTTTTTCTAATAGCTTATTTATTGAAATATATTACAATCTGTCTCAGGGACATTAATAATAGTGTTCACAGAGAGCAAATTAAAAATTTTCATTAAAATGCATTTTATATTATTGCCAGAATTATGAAGTTTTATTTTAAGTCAATTTGTTAATTTCATTATTACTTCTTTTAAAGGAAAATGTCTAGTGATACCCACATTAAATATTTTATTTTTATTATATAAGTGTACTTTCATAAATAATTTATTACTAAACATCTCTGGCCTCATAAAAAAAAAAGAAATGAAAGCTTTGTAATAATTGACAGTAGAAGTTGGATGGGAAGTGCGTTGTATTTGTATTGTACCTATTGTATTATCAAAGATGATGATACAATAGGAGGCTTACTTCATTTTTAGACCAGATCCCTTAACAACTTGTGATTCATAATAATTATTTTTGTTGAAAATACTTGTACTTTGAAGAGACAGGATTTCATATGATTTAATTTGTTTACAAAGAAAATCTGTTTTTTATCTCAACTTATTCTGTAACAGATCTCAATTATAGTGGACTCAATGGTTATTAAAAGTGTAAGTTTTTCTAGAAGTAGGGGATGTGTAGTAGAATGCTTATAAAAAAATGTCAAATAATTTTGGAGAAAACCGAACCAAACTGTAATTTAGTCAATCATTTAGTTTAATTTATTTTACTCAAAATTTAAATTTCCTTTTTTTTTTGTTTTTTGGTAATTGAACCCATGATCTGTATAAACTTTTCATAGATATTGAAGTCTACGATCGCTGCTTCATAAACTATTTTCAATTAACAAGTAAATTACAAGAACTCAATAATATTTATTACTCTTATTGAGCTATTAGCATTTTGCTGATAAGACCATTTCAATTATAATTTTACCAACTTTTATTTCCATCTAATGGGAGATCACTAAGCACCAGGTGTTTTTGACATAAGTGAAATGAACTGAGATTGTAGTACTTCTGCATTTTCACAAAATAAATTGTATTTATTTTTATTTTTGCCAACGTTTCGGCCCAGAGTTCAGGGTTAAGAAAAAACAAATAACAAGGGGTATGAGAAAGTATTGACATTGAAAATAAAATGTAGGTGAAAAGTATAGTCTAAAAAATGTAGGTAGAATAAACTTCAAGAAAATATAAAATAATGATAACGTAAAACTTTCTTCCGTTACTTTAGATTATCGTTATTTTATATTTCTTTTAAGTTTATTCTACCTACATTTTTTAGACTATACCTTTCACCTACATTTGTTATTTTCTTTTCAATGTTAATAATTTCCCATATCCATTGTTATCTGTTTTTTTCTTAACGCCGATGAATGCCTGAACTTTGGGCCAAAATGTCGGCAAAAATAAAAATAAATACAATTTATTTATTAAAATTTTTTTTACTGAACACCTCAACCAATCTTCTCTTCAATTATTGTATTCCTTTATTTGAATACCTCAACTTTATTCCTAATTCCTCCTCAACCAGGTCTACTTTCATCTTTACTTCCATAACCACAAAGGATCATTATTGATTGTTGTAGATTGTGTTTATTCATCTTATAATAGATGCAATAATAATTTTTGAAAAATTGTTATTCCTCATTGAACATGTTTTAATTAGTGATAACTCAGCTATAAGATAATTGAATTGATCTAATGAATACTTAAGGGGTCACCCTCTCACTCATATTTTCCATTAAACCTAATCTAATCATATAAAACCAACTTAACCATATAAATGGTTGAGATACAGTTTTTTTTTTTAAGGTCTTTTTATTAATTTTTAACTTTAAAGCCAAATAATTGATTATTGAATAAATTTACACTAGTGCAATATTAATCCTTTTGAGAAGGAGTTAGTTGGGGGTGCGGTCAAATAAATACTAAATTAAAATATATTAATTATTTTATTTTAATTTTGCCGACGTTTCAACCCACTTTGCATGTCGTCTTCAGGGCGTAGGATGTAGCACTGCGGGAGGCAGTTGAAACACTGGCAGTATAAAAAAAAAAACTTTTTTTTTTATACTGCCAGTGTTTCAACTGCCTCCCGCAGTGCTACATCCGATGACCTGCAAAGTGGGTGGAAACTTCGGCAAAATTAAAATAAAATAATTACTATATTTTAATTTAGTATTTATTTGACCGCACCCCCGACTAACTCCTTCTCATATTATATCAACAGTCAACCATCTCTACATCATTATTAATCCTTTTGCTTTTAGATGTATTCGTAATTTCTCCTTTATAATGATGATTATGATTTGACTTTTCAAATTCATTGTCTTTTAATATTTTCTAGATGGCTGTTTTTGTAAGCAGAGATTCTGAATTTTTTTTAAGTGTAAGGAATAAAAATTGAACTAAAATAATGCTGAATAATATATAAATGTGTTCTTTTATTATAATAAAACAAAGAAAATTATGGCGAAAAACTCTCTCAATTTAAAAATAGACATAATTCTTTTAACATTCTTCTTTCTTGGTTGGTGATACTTTTTTGTTTAATCTGTTCTGGAATGCTTGCAACTTGTTTGCAATAGATTTTTGCCAGCTCGGTAACTTTACTTTAACACTCTCCCATGCGCTTGTCAGTCGTGGGCTAATATCACTTGGATTAGGAATTTTATCACTTATTTCAGACAATTTTTCTTTAGTGCTTGACATTAGTTTCTCTAATTGTAAAATTTTCTCAACAGCAATTGTACCTTCATTTGAAATAAAGTAATTATTCTTCAAAATCTTACTTGGAATCTCTCTTGCTGTTTGCAATGCTTGATTCGAATGTAAAATAACATTAATTTCTGATGTCCATTTCAGAATTCTTTGACTTTTTATTAAAGAATTGTTAAAACTTAGTATTGCTTTATTTTTAAATTCCTCATAATTAACTTCAGACAGATCTGGCACTAACAGGTTGAATGGATGGCCACTCTAAAAACAGAAAAATAGTAAATAAGTATATGAGACTGTTTAAGATGCATTTATAATCAGTCTATAAATGTGTATGTATATGGAAAAATATATAATATAATAATAAAATGCCATTTGTATAAAAAAAAGCTGACTTTAAAAAACAAAACATGCTGAATCAGCTAATTGATAATTGCCAGAAAAAATTCATTTATTGTGTTTGTATTGTACTAGGGGTAAGCAAATATTAGTGCAGAATAACGATACCCACATCGGAACTCAATTACAAGGTCGCAACTAGGATTTTCCACAGGAGTGGCAAGCTTAATTTTGCTGTTTAATCAATATTTTAGGTAATGTATTTCGAAACAAATATTACCGTCAGGTAATTAGCTTGTCGTTGGATGAATGAAAATAGAAAACCCCAAAAAGTAGAAAGAAATGTTTTAACTAGTTTTTTTATTTATTCATGAAATTTACAACTATATAATATAAATATATATCTAGTAAATTTGTACAGAGAAATAAAATAGCATGAAAAGAATAGTAGAGAATCTACCCATTGGCAGCACTCTATAACTAAAGTTTAAAAAAAAACTAGCTCAATTCTTTCACCCAGGAGAAGTGTTCCCTTTGTTCTTTCCTGATCTGGACATTGTTTGTTTGATTTGTTTTATCTCCTCCCCAGTTTAGATTTACTTTTATACTAAAATGGTAATATTAATATTTATAATAATATAAAAAATGGAAATGCCCGATGGGAGGGGGTGCAGTAACAGGACCCAGGCTCCTGAAGGTTGGTTTACTAGGTTTTATTTTTAATTTAATTTATGCAGTAATTATTTAATATTTCTCTTATATACATTATAAAATAATTTGATTGTTATTTAGTGGTAAATTTAATATTCGACAGCGGCCTAGAAAAATTAGCCCGGGGTCTTTTGATTTTTGTAATTTACATCCCCACATATATTATTACAGTAAGGCTCGAAATCGGTTTTGTAAGAAATATAAGCTGTAACGCTCAAATACCATGAATGGAGTACTGTTGGATTCAGAATTTCATGGAGGGTTAGTGAATCGGATTCTTCACTTTTGTTTTTCTTTCTAAAATAAATAAAATCGATACAAACATTTTGCTGAGCTTCAATACTGAAACGGTGGTAGGTCTGTTGATCAATACGGGACAAATTAGATCTTGAAGGTTTTGATGCATACAAGACCAAGACCAAGATGCGTTTTTAAGCGCCAAAACATACTATTTTCGAGATAACGCAAGGCATAGGGTTCGCATCCACACAACTTTGCGTTAATTGTAGTGCTGTCATTGAATACATGTCACATTTCGTTGACTTGAGGTCTCTATGATCGAGAGGAGGAGTTTATATTATTTATCAAAGGTGTTTTTTGTCGGCAAGCCATATCATCGTTAATTCTTCACCAAATCTCAAGATTGAGTCACCAAGGCTTCGAAGGCTTCCTTCTCCTCCAGGCGCCCAAAATAGTCCAATCATCCCGAAAATTCAGGCAAACAAGTTATGAAAGAAAACAAACTTTATTTGCGAATTACTAAAAAATTACACACTTTTCCCTTGGTTATGTCCATGATTATATAAAATATTATTATATTCCCCAATAACAATTTTTAGGAAAAATACAGCCTAGTGAAATTTATAAATATGTTGGGTCCTAACATTAAGAAAGATTTAAATTAATTTTTGTTTCCTTTGTCGATTATATGTATCGCTAAAGTAACATTTGATTTCTTTATCTTTTGATACATTGCATTATTTTATTTTCTTATTAATTTGGCATTTGATAACAATATACTGTGCGAATTTTTCACACAGAAATATGTAAAGTCAATTGTTTTAACAAACAAAATTTTAAGTTGAAAATCAAGCGTCGTTTTTAATTAAACAGCCTACAGTAACGCAAAACGTGCTGAAATAAAACATCTGGAGTATATATTTCTCTTTCTAAAACGCTGATTATTTTTTTAAAAAATTTAAGCAGTTCCGTAGAAAATGCACTTATGCGGCAGAAAAGCGGTACTGGCCTGGGTGCCTATAGGCCTCTTCTACCACACCATTCAGTACACATAAATGGCTTAGTTATAGTGATATAATAACATTTTTGGTGCATTATATTGGTTTTATTAACGAACAAATATTAATGCAATAATTTAATTGTAAAAAAAAATTAAAATTTTAAAAAAAAAATTATTATTATTATTTTTTTAATTTAACCTCCTTTATTCTATACGTATGTCGTTTAAGAAGACCTCAATCGTAAAAATGATATAATTATAATCATAAAACTTAATTAAAAAATACTTTGCTAAATATCTTGATTTTTTTTTTATTTAACGTTTGCAATTTA